TTGGACATTTATCAGAATTTAAAACATAGTTCTAAGTTAGCAAAGGGATTCTGTATGTACATATACATGATTATGGATGAAGTTGATTGACCTTTGTGATAACCATTACATGGTCTTGTGTGTGTATTGTGTTTGTGTGTTGTAACATAAATTTCGCGGCAACATTAACACTAAGCTCTAAGCCACTGACAAAAAGTAGTGGATGCTACTTGAAACGTTTGACAGTTTTCAAAACCTTTTCAGCTGCTTGAGTACTTTGTGTATATCACTACCTAGTAATAGATGTCTAACCTTCATCGACATAAGGCTTGGGGTTTGAAGTATCTCTGTATTTGTGGTAACAATGAAAGATAGAACATCAGTGTTCACGGCTGTTAACTGCAAATATCTCAGAATTTACAGGGCTGTAAAGGGCAGTTTACTGGTGTGTAACAGGTGTCCAAACGGCCGTGTATGTGGCGGAAGTGTGCCTGGGACCTGCGGCATGTTTGAACTTCACACAGAGGTGAGAACTGGGACTTCCTTTCAACTGGAACGTCGTGTCGGCCCGGATGCCATCCTTGTCCGGCAGACCTGTTAGCGAAATCGCCTTCGTTCACGGGAGTGTACGTATCAAGCTTAAGCGAGCACGGGAAAAAAGTATGGCGTTGGATTGCACTGACATCGATACTCAAGTAGTACATCTACAACAAAATACATGTACGAAAATCAAGTGTTTTGCTGCATGCCATCTTACAACATGGCCACAAAACCGACTAGAAATTGTTTGTGCCTTTAATCTTCAATTTTCTATGGTGGATTTCCAAAATGATGACAAGGCTTCGGTAGGAAATCTCTGATCTCCAAGCTGACACGTGGTTCACATGACACATGGATGAATTACAGCACAGAAGACACAAAGTATCTCAGTGTGCACTGAGATACTTTGTGTCCAGTGTGCTATGGGTTTGGAACCCAGGCTACACAGAGGCAAGCCAAGCCAGAGCCACACACCTCTGCTTGGAGACTGGGTAGTGGGTGAAGGCTGGCGGAGTCATTGACCCCTAACCACAAGGCGCCAGGTCTAAATGGACCACATCAAAGAGGAAGCTGTGGAAGTGATTCATCCTCAGGCATTCCACCTGGGCCTCATCACAACTCCGCTCAGGAATTAGCTCAGATTGCATTCCCTGTGTTAGAGTTTAACTGACCAGTGCTTTGGTACCTCAGATTGCATTCCCTATGTACGAGTTTAAATAGACCAGTGCTTTCTATATGTTAACTGAGCTGCGTTCTGCAATTACCTAAGATTGTATTCCGCATGCTTTACTCTGGAAGCAGCTCTGATTCCATCTGATTCCATCCTGTATGTTTTTCTCTGGAATTGACTCTGATTGCATTCCGTGCATTGACCAGAGTTTTCAGACAGCTCTGGCCGCACAGTCCTTATGGAGTGTGAACTGACCAGTGTTCTGGAATTAATTCTGATTGCATTCCTTGAATTTCGTTCTATTGAAGTTTTCTCTTGAATTTTTCTGAATATCTGCAGGTGACAATAATTCCTGTAATGCTCTACGCTAAATTTGGGATGGCCCCCAGTGCTGCTGGATGCTAAAATTAGGAAGTGTCTTTACGCTTCACACTAAATTCTGACAGACCATTCCCTTGCTACGTCTGTCTTATCTTCGGGGCACTGGTGAATGCCCTGACCACCATCTGATCCACTGTGAGCTATCTTTACTGTAGACTGAATGTCCAGACGTCCAACTCAGTGTGCTATCTTTAGTTTAGTGAGGAGTGAAGACAGCTACCCTTACTTGTGCATTGATGGCATTCAGGTGTGTTGAAAGACAGCCAAATGTGGGTTACTTGTGTGGTGGTAAGGGTTTGGGGTGGGATGGGTGAGGCTAGCAGTGAGTGTGTGTGTGTGTGGGGGGGGGGTCATGGTGTGTAAATTAGGAACTTATGAGCAAAATGCTCATCATTCAACCCACTGATTTGAGTGTTTGACCCAAAATGTTTGACTGAACTATCTTAAATAGTACTACATGGATACCACAACAAGCTAATTAAACAGTTGTTCATTACTGTTAGTGTTGATACCAAAAAAATTGCAGCAGTAACAGCAGTTCCCCTCCTTCAGAAAATAAAATCTCCCCAAAAATAAATGCATTCACAGTACAGTAATTAGATTATAATCCACTCGTATGTAACAATCTTCTGTCAATCTGAGCCGATTGAGCAGAAAAACACCAAGAATGTCGGCCATTTTGACACATACATGAACTGTAGCATCTTAAGTACCTTCGGAATAACATCCAGATTCCAGACTGAGGAAAATTGATCGTGTCAGCAACAGAAAATATTTGGAATCCTGGATACCAGCTGGAAGCATGTTAATCCTTGGCTCCAGATGTTGCAGTCTTTATCTGCAGTTTAGTGCCAACTTTGGGCCGTTCTAATACCATTCTTTGTGTCAATGCACAATTTCTGTATGATCCTTGTGTAAACATAGATTGAAAAGAAATCTCTTTAAAATTTAGATATTTTATACAGCCTACGTGTAGTCCTTTCGAAGTTTTCTGTTTATTCATTTTTTTAATTTTTTAATTTATAATGGCCAAGCACTGCTCATTTTGGGGGATTTCTACAAAACCAAAAATAACAATTACTGTAACTGTTTATTGACACATTATGTGGGTAATCAGTAGGGATTTCAAGAGGTCAGAGGTCAGGATTTTGAAAAATCATCCAATCTATAATTTGTATTGTCCTTGCTAATTATGATTTTCTAAAAATTTTGCATCCAATGCTATCAGAAATGTTGAAGTGAGAGTCCATAAAAGTTCAATTTCATTGTAGTTTTAATATTAAAATTTCTGGAAACTTTTGGCCCACAGCACGCATTTCCCCCCTTATGGAATACTTCCAAGTAGCCCAGGTTAAAAGCTACCATGCCACCACTGCCAGTCCCGAGACCTGCGGAATACCACCAGGCTCCTCATATTTGCCAGGGTGGGAGGGAAAGGTTAGCTGGTGGCGCTGGTTGCAATGTCTGCCTGGTTCCTGACGGAGTCAAAACAAACTAACAAGTAACATGTGCAGCAGGCTGCAGATTGTGGGGTCGTGCCAGGGCGAATGCCACACATCTTTGTACACACCAGCACTACCCAAGCATGCCTGATACTCAGCACCAGGTGGGAAGGTGTGAGGTACCTTACAGGCAAAGGGGAAATCCCACCAAACAGTATGAATGTAGGATGGTACTGAAATAGAACATACATAGTACAGTACAGTAACATCTTTGTACACACCAGCACTTACTCAAGCATGCCGTATACTCAGGACCAGGTGGAAAGGTGTAAGGTGCAAAGGGGGAAATCCCACCAAACAGCATGAATGTAGGATGATAACAGTACAGCTGTAAGACCATAGTAGCACGTCTTTGTACACACCGACACTACCCATCACCTCTTCAAGATGTCAAATCTGAGACCAGACCATAATTTTTGAACCACTCATACTCGCAGGACCCCTGCTCTCTTTGATAAGTGTGGTGGGTTCTTTAATATGAGGACAACTTTTCAATGATTATCACCATGGAAAGGGGATTGATACATTGAATTTTGCACAAGAATAACACAGATACTTGATCTCTTATACCTTGCATAATTGTAGCAAATAGCGCTAACACGAAAATCAATATTTCTTACCCTTTGCAGACAAGTGATATTGATTATTCTCTCTTGGAGAACACTTTATGATCATACCACAGCTTCCCCTTGTCTCAAATTAGAGAGTATTAATGTACTCATTTTAAATTCATGCACCATTGAAACAAAATTATACAATCCGTTTCCTCAAGGGAATATCAATCTATATCATACGAGCTAAAATTAGTCCAGGTCTAAAGCTAGGAACGGGTTTTCTGTGTGTGAAAAATTTTTGCGTGAAAACTTAAAAGTCTAAAACAGCAAAAAGTTTTTTAACCCTTTCAGAATCAGCTAATTTGAATACTGTAATTTACAATGTACTTTTGTGTTTGCAGTTTTCATGGCCACTTCTGTACCATGAACTTATCATTACCATTCATTGGTAATTCGCTGACTTTCTTTTTTCTGCCCCAGTCCCTACCATGAACATATAGTTCCGCGAACATGTCCATGTTTCTCAGGCTGCAAACTTTTGCTACCACAAATTACAGTATTTTCACGTTTCACCCCATCCCCTAAAGCTGACATGTACATCTGCTGTAGCGAGGTCTCAGCTCTGTTTACCTGTGCTCTCTTAACGTGGGCGGACAATGTAAGGCCTTTGTTGTTTTGACAAGAGGTGAACAAGCACCTGTATTTACCAGCCGACAGTACTCTGGACAAGGTACACCACCTGGCCTGCACACGGCTTATATAATACCACCTAGGTCATGTTGATTTGATTATATGGATGACATCCGCGCACTTTCGTCCGTTTCCAAAAAAAGTTTTGACTATACTGTAAATCGTACACGTACAAAGCTGCTGCAAAATCATCAAATATATGCCGTAAATTGCCAACAATATTGGAAAACGATGTCGTAGGATGCCAATATCAATGTAGGAAAAGAAAGTGTGAAGAAATGAAAATTGCCTAATGTTTCTATTGATGAAAACTTCTCCAACATGGTCATTGTAATTTGTATATCTATCATATTTGAAGTGATTTAAAAGGATGGCCAGAAGACCACCAGTACATGTAATAATGCAAGGACGCTATAGTTCTGACTTTTTGTTATTTTCAGGCTCTAGACACCTCAACCTTCTAGTTCAACAACCTTGGGCTTAGTAGTTAGTTGACCCGAGGTTACGGTGATTGAAATGATGGCCAGAGGACTACCAGTACATATGATAATGCAATGCAAAGAGGCTATAGATTTCTATAGTCCTATATAGTCCTGACCTTTTGTCATTTTCTGGCTCTAGTAATTAAGTCTAAAAACCTCAACCTCCTAGTTGTACAACAGCCTTGTGCTCAGTTGTCCGGAGGTTACGGTGCATTACCCCTGGTGTGTCCTGTTACCCCCGACAGACACACCTCAGTGCTCACGTCACCTGACACCAGCAACAGGTGTGCGGCTCTCCTGGACAGGTGTGAAGTCTTCTACCAACACAAACACACTCAAGCCGCAAACGCACTTTGACAGGAAACGCTACGTACGTTTACGACAATATTGAATACGGCAGAACTTATTGCAGAGGGTCTATAACTCTATGTCCTTTGAAATTGATGTCTTGGTACTTGGTACAGGTGTCAAAATTATGATATTTGAAAAGCCTCGACAGAAGAAAAGAAGACAATGATCTGTCCCTCAAAGAAATCATCACCCATCACGTGGTCATCAATGGCTGGTCCCCACTAAGGCCAAGTCAATTTAATCAATTGGTTCTCAGACTTACCCGCTTCCTTTCGTTTTTTTCTGATTTGGGGCTATCATAGGATATACCTGTTTTTCTTTTTTTACTCAACCTCTCGTTTCATTTTTTCTCTAAAAAAAGTGAGAACCAACATACAAGTCAAATTGGTATGGCCTAATAATAAACAATAATATTGAAAATGACAATGGTTTGTCCGTCAAAGAAATCTTTACCCACCTTGCTTTCATCAATGGCTGGTCCCTTTATTACTGAAGGTGTGAAGTCAGTTGTCTTTTCAACACTTTTCATCAGTTCATGACATCCTGGACACACTAGTACACTGCTCCCTCCCTCTAGTGCCAGGGAGCCCTTCGGTCTGGGGTGGTCCGTTAGAAAGGGGAAGTGTTTCACCGAGACTTCTTTTGCCACCGCAAAGGGACGGAGTTCGGCACACCAGTAGCACACGAAATCTCGTGTGTGGTACGGCCGCAGCCAGCGGTTGGTTTCGCCGGGGCTCCTGGGCGAGTCCTCGTAATCGTTCCACTGTTGCAGCAGGTTGTGGTAGCAGAACTGGCAGGTGGTCACAGAGCCGTTGGGCTGAACCGGATCAGCACCTGGTGCAGGGTTACAGGTGGCCAGGAACGGGAAGAAAGGGCCTCTGTCCGACCAACCATCCCTGGTCCGCGGGTATGTGTACACTGTTTGCTGACTACTTCCTGTAGTTATACTTTGGCCACAAATAAAGCACTTTTTCCTGGCCTCTTCCCGTGTACCTGTTTTGCTACCATCTTGATCTGAGATGGGTGATGACCTTGGGACGTCGGTTTCTTCCCTTGAACTTGAAGAACCTGGCAGGACCATAAAGTTACTGATGAATCCCCCGATCTGGTGAGGTGGAACACCCCTGATTTGTAAGATGTGCCACTGTTGGTCTAACCATGATTGACAGGTGTCACACACCTGGGCTGTGCCATCCCGTTTCAGGGGGTGGGCATTGCTTGCCCGGGGGTAGTCGGTGAGGAAAGGAAAGTACCTCACGTTTGGAGTATCGTCCTCTTCACTTGTGGGTGGTTTGGAGTTAACAACATTACCACCTGAGAGTGGGAGAATGCTACCACACAGGTAGCAACCCTGAGGCTTAGGAACAGCAGACTTTGCCAGTGGCTGAGAATTCGAGGGGGAGGAGGGCTTCTGGGCACTCTCCTTACGTACCCTGTACGTACGTTCATCCTCAGGTGTCCGTGATGCCTCAAATGATTTCCATTGCCTGTCCAGGGAGTTACGGCAGGTGTAACAGACCCGGGTCACACCCTGTGCCGTCAGGGGCATGGCACCTTTAGGCGGAGTCAGTTTTTCCAGGAAGGGAAAGAATGCGTCCCCGTTGGAGTGTTTCCTGGCATAGATGAACCTGCCTGAGCTGAGCGGCTGTGTCACCCCGCAGGTGAAGCACCTCATCGTGTCATCGTCCTCTTGAGAGTTTCTGTCCTGTGGCATGGTGGTGTTGTGGTCCGAGGACCTTGCCTTGTGGGACACCTCTGATCGCAGCTGGTACTGTCTCTCCATGACTGGGATGTTGTTCCTCTGGAAGGCCTGCCACTGCCTGAACAGGAACTTCTCACAGCCCTCACAGATCATGACGGTGCCGTCCTGGTCCACGGGCGTTGCCCCGGGGGGCGGGGCATGTCGGGTCAGGCACGGGTAGAACGGCGACTTCGGGTTATGTTGGGGTCGTGTGTGTGCGCTAAGGAGATGTCTCCGATCTTTCTTATGTCCGCAGACGTAACATAATCTCAGTGCTGACGTTGTTTCGTTAGTAGTAACGTTAGTAGTATTATCTCTGCTCCTCGCGTCGTCCCTAGCGCTAGCGCTGGCATACCCGGGCCAGTCGAGCTCGTCCCCGCCCACCACGGCCGCGTCCTGACCGTTAAGTTTCAGGAGTTCCTCCTGTTGAAAGCGGAGCTGTGCGTCGTGACCACTCCGGTAGCCGCACCCGGGAGGCCTCTTCAGCCAGTAGAGCCTCTTGGCAAGAGGCGTTCGCATCCGCTCGAAGGAATTCCACTGCTCGGACAGGAAGGAGTAGCAGACGAAACAGACGTCGGCGGCCCCGTCGGGAGCCAGCGACCGGCCGCCGGGAGGGGCCTCGTGGTACTCCAGGAAGGGGAAGTAGGCCGCGGCGGTGTCGGCTCCGGGGCGCGATCGGAGCTGGTAGCCGGCGCCGCCGCTGCCACACACGAAGCACACGGTGCCATGTTGGTTGGCAGCCGCCGCCAGACCAGATGTGGCCGTGGCGGCTCCGCCAGCTGTGCTCGGCGCCCCCGCCATCATGTTGACAGCAGTCGTCCCCCTCGCATCAAATCACAACCGCATACCGCCGACTACAACTCGTTCGCCCATCCCGTAAAGTACCCGCAGAACCGCCGCCGGAAATGTCTGGGCGCTCGGTGGAGGTTTTCTCGAGGTTGGGGAGCCTTCTCAAGTGCATTGCCAGTGGATCGTGCGCCCCCGGCCGGATCGCCCACGACTTCCCCGTGTTGTCGTCCGGGGTCACCGGGTCGTAAATTACCGTCTGCTGCACCCAGCATGCACCTCGGGCGCCAGCTGGTGGACTAACCCATTCACTCCAAACAGGGGAGGGCAGGGTTTGCTCAAAAACACCCCCTTGCGTATTAAGTTTAAACTGCAGATGGTGGACTTCGTGACCAGATACAGTGGTTGCCAGAGCCAAGTAGAGATCTGATAGCAGAACAGTTTTTGCCCTGTGGGGATTTCTATTTAAGGGCCCAAGGTGACTCACTTAGATTTGGTAAAACTTTCAGTAGGGTGCACTTCACAGATATCAAAAACGAATATAAGATACAGCCTACAAAATACATGTACATGTATCTAAAAATAAATAAAATTAAATACAAAACTCAAAACATTGACTTAACAAATGTACATCAACAGCCATGGACAACCAAGAGATGTGGTAAGTATTTATTGAGATTTAATGTAATCTCACAGTACATTGATAAGTCTGTACAATTGGTGCCAGATTACTTCACTACACTTCTGAAATTATGGTGCATATTTCTTTGATAGTGACTGACTAGCTCAGTTTCAGTTAATTGAGATGCCCTTTCTCATTAAATTACATGTATATCTTCTAAATGAAAAAAATCACAATGAAGGGTGGCCATACAATGTTTATGAGGCTATATATTCTGGTTTGTTTGTAATAATTCTTTAGAAATCTGGGCAACAGTCTTTTAAAACGAAACACCCAAAACGAAATAGGCGGTACCCAGTACATAGATTTTCTTGGGTAAACTGAAAAGAAATTGGCTCATACCATTTTCTTACATCTATACAGTACCCCTGGAACGTATAATGTCATATCACACCCATATACAAACTTTGGTTACCATTTCTAAAAGTAACATTTGGTCCCCTCTAGAATATTAGGATTCATCCATACATAAATTCTAAACAGGCATTTCTGGTCTCACTCATTCAGAGTGAAACTTGCCAAAGTTACAAACATGTTCAAATATTTTCCAATAATTCCAATTCTATGCCAATCTAGACCCTGGGTTATAAGGGTCTAGATTTAATATACAAAGTGTAGAAGCCAATCCTTCTATAACCTTAGATACAACAGTTTATAAAATCAAGGCAGCTGAATCAAGATTTAAGTTCAGTGTCATTCCTGTGTATGTTGAGTAGCGCCCCCTGGTGGCACTCGCAGTTGGTGCATGTGATCGAGAGCCTGCGTCAGGAACTGTCGCATTGTGTTGATTTCCATCAGAGAAAGGTCGTCCAGCTGAAGTGGGAAAAATAAAGGGTATGTTCTGACCAAGCTACACAGGAGTACCATTAAGTTAATAATGTTACTGTTATGTAAAATATTCCTGCTATGTTTATGAGTGATTTTTGACTTATTTTCTTACACTGTACCATGTATTGTATTGCTTTTAAGCATAAATTGGTTCGGCCTTACCTGGGCATGAGACTCTTGGTCTGAGACAAACTTGTCGACAGAGCTGCGGAGCTTGGCTGTCCGGATGTCCCAGATGTCCTTAATCAGGGTCCTGACTTCATCTGCACGGGGAATGTCATCTGTTGCACTACAAAACAAACAAACATTCAAAACAAAGGTTTCAATCAATCAACAACCAACAGCTCCCCTGCACGCTTTATCCCAATCTAGGGGTGTTGTGTAGTACCCAAACAAGACAAGAAAGACAAGACCAATGATTTTTAAACAATGTAAATGACACAATGGACAACAGAACATATGTTTCGGTGCTATGAGTACATGGTGAGTAAAGCTGAAAACTTCAAAACATTGAAGATTTAAAAATTTACAGTATACGGTATTCCGACTTACTGTGTGAGCAAGAGTTGTGCCACTTCCATGTAGTGTTTGTTCAGCATAGGCTTGAAGAACGCTGAACCTTCTTCTTCATCTTTCTTCTCCTGTAGTTTTTCTAAGACAAGCGTAGGAAGATAACACGATTACAAGGGTGAGCGTATCTGTATTTAAAACTGAGCCGCCCCTCTTGTAAGTCCCTCTGTACATTTTGTTAAGAAAGTCTCGAGCTGAACCCCTTGCAACCCCCTTGCCAGCTTGAACAGCTGAAACACAATATTTTTTCCTAGGCCTCTGCTTTAGGCAACTACATAGGCCTCTGGTCTAGGCAACGACACAGATGAAGATGACGACATGTTATACATACCCACATCCATCCAGTCAGGAGGCTGTATCCTGCACTTCTGTCGTTGTTTCAGGTTGATCGCCATCCACAGCGGGATCTGTACAGGCAGACCTGGGTTGAAGGGGCCAATGTCACCCTACAATACAAGTACAATAAACATAAATCAAACATTACAATTGAACAGTAAGATCATGGTAGCCTAGTTGCCATTCTCTGTGGTCTGCATGGGATCTGGTACTTAACTAACATAGTGCATTATGTAATTTCTCTGGTCTTTTCAGAGTAGGTTGAATCAACCCATAATTTTGCATATATTGCCATTCAGAAGGTATTACTAAAAGGTGTACAAATATGACACTTTACGAGTGTGTTTGAAATCTTGAAACACTGCTATCATCCATGTTTGTTTACATTCTGCTGGTACTAGGTACTTTGAGTGCATCATGATCATACAAATTAGAACACAAATCAAAACATCACCACAACATTGAGTTTCAAACTTACCCCAATTAGATATATTTTGTCCAAGGAGAAGTTGGGTACGATGTAAACCATCTCCTTTTCAGCCAGGAATTCCACTTCTGACGGGTCCATATTGTCCGTAAGAAAAGTCTGTTCAAACAGAACTGTGCCGCAACGAAAACGTCCACATGTAGGGGGAGGGGGGCGAGAGAGCCGGACAACACAAAACCGACGTTCTTTATCCAACACCACGGCCCCTTAATAAATGGCACTATGCATTGACATCGCAGAACACAGTTTGTATTAAAAATGACACAATTTTATACTTAGCCACGAACGAAGATAGAAATCCCGAGGTTTTAAGTCAAGTTTGACGGATTCTTGTCCTCCGTTTTCGCGGGAAAAAATTCGAAGAGCAGCATGGGTGAAGGCGACAAAACAAACAAAACTCTTGAATATTTCAAAATAAGTCTATAAAAGTAACAAAATGCACAATTAAGATACAAGATAAATATTAAAATTAATATTTGTAAGCATATCTATCCATATTATTCTCTAAGTGGTTAATATTATGTTCCGATATTTTATGTTTCAATCCATCTTATTCCCAGGATCCTTTGCGCACAGGGTAGGTCACGTGGGCGCACAGGGTAGGGAAAGGTCGCGGTAAACCACGTGACTCATCCTCGGCTCTGGTCGGAAGAAGGTGCCCTAAGCTATCTGGCCGATAGTAGGCTGGGAGCATTCAATTTCAAAAGTCTGTCTTTTTGTCACATTTTCACGTAGTATGTTGAATCAACCCTATCCTATCCCATACCGATAGTCATGGAGCAAAAATTCAATGCCGCTTTGCCGTACGAACGCCGTGAAAAACTACGTGCCTCCCGCCGCCGGCAGTGGTCTCAGCCATTTTTGAAATTTCCGAGCGCTCGCGAACACTTCCGACTTCTTCCGACCAGAGCCGAGGATGAGTCACGTGGTTTACCGCGACCTTTCCCTACCCTGTGCGCCCACGTGACCTACCCTGAGCGCAAAGGATCCTGGGAATGTGCAACTCGTGTTTCGTCGCTCCTACGTATGACCTTCGCCCTTTCCACCTTGATGACCCCAAACATGTAAAAAGATGGGCGGTCCAACCGTTTTCTGCTGCCGTGTGGGGAATTTTCGCCTCAGAATCCTGTCTCTGGGACTCCACACCTCAAGAAACAACGTAAGACAGTCCAGTAGGCTGTACAGAATGTTTACATTTCCTAATATTTGTCTTAACATTTGTTGATGCCCTTGAAAAGGTCCTTGAAGATTTGTAAACAACAACATGCATGACACCTGTAACGTGTAGATGTGCAACAGTACTAGTCCTGTCATATCATGTGTAAGAAAGTGTGGTAAGAAATTCTGGTACGGAGGAGATATAATCTAAGAGTGTTCAGCAGAATACATAGATTTTGAAGGCATCCAAAACCGGCAAAAGAACAAAAAAATATTTTGGATGAAAAAATGTTTAAACTTCTTTAGTGTAATATTAGACATTTACTACCATATCTTAATTTTCGTCATGATCAAAACCTGTGATAAAGCCCCAAAACATTTAGCTACGTGAGGCATCTCTTTATTTTTTGGGTACCACCCATAAATGACTAGAACCAGCATCTGAGCCAACAATACGAAACAATCAAACATTTTCTGTCAGCGACATCACCTTTTTGCTTTAGAGATATCAATATGCTATGGGATAGGACTGATTCAACTTGCTACTGTAACATTAAAAGAATGACCAGAAAATTGACTTTGAAAATCCAGTTTTGCATTGGAAATGCATTGGATGCCTTTAATGGAACATTCCATGTCAGGTTGAATTATGTACTATCAATTATCAAGGACATTATACATATAACGTTAAAGTCCTTGGCACTATGTAGCCTAATGTCATGACATGGCTGAGGTCACTACATTTGCCTGGCTTGGATCAGAGCCTATTTGGTGAGTCTACGAATCCAGGCATGACCAGATGTGTCTTCATTAATCAGGAATAGTAAGATAGCTTGCTATGGTGTTGCCTTGAGCAATCCTGCTTATGTGTGGCAGGGTCAGGGTTCAAGGACTGCAACCCTTACCAGTAATGTGCAAATCAGTGTACAGAACATTGATGTCGGTCCGCCTATTTCTGGAATACACCGGACTACTCAGGAATTACACATAATGGAGAGTGAAGTCTATCCCTTGTTTTGGTACTATTTCAAACTTTCAAGTATGAAAATGTGCAAAGAAATGACAGTAAATGATGACAATATCAGACAGATTTCCTTACCCAGAATGTTTTTCATTTGGTTGCCCTGAAATTGCATTTTATGCCTTTAATTTGATCATGTTCTCCCATTTTCCAGTACAGTGCAGCAGCCAGACTTTCCAGCCTGCGTAGCAAGCTGAAATGGCCGAGTACAGCGGCAGCAGCCGCCCCCCTCCCCACCCCGCCGGCTGACACACCGGTCCCACGAGCGCCCCTTCTCGGGGTCCCCTCTGAGGAGGAGTTCCCAGAACGGTTCATCCCCATCACGCGCCGCTCGCTGGTCATGCGCCTCATGCAGCGGATGGATGGAATCATCCCAACCACCTACCTGGACCACTTCTCCGAGTTCTCTGACGCGTTGGACACTGCCATCACCGACGAATATCATAAGATTCTAATCGAAATGAAGGTACTGCAGTTGTGCTGTGGTTTTTGTAAAAGTTTTCATTATAGTACTCGTAACATTGCATGACCAGCTCAAGAATTCTTGGCAGAACTGAAAGGCTCGTTGTTTTATCAGAATAATTCTTAAGTCTGAAAGTAATCAAGGAGGATTGAAAACACCTTCCTCCCTTTTATATACATGCACATCTCATTAAAATTTCTCATACAATTTTGTGGCTATATGAGTTCAACCTTCTGTCCTTCAGATGTCACATATTAGAAAAGAAATGAAGAAAGGGATATTGCAAAAATTCTGCCAAGACAAATATGCTTTCCTTCAATTAGTAAATTAGAATAGCAGGCATTGCTTTGCTATTTATGAAGTTCATTCCATTGCACTTGCCTGTGGACTAGATTTGATTTGATATCCCTTTATCCAAACCTGTTGTTTTCACTCTGAATATGGAATTTTTTTCTGTTTTTCTCCTTCCCAGCTTTTCAAGTAACAGTGTGCTGTGTGTGTTGTTTGTTTCACTAATTTCTTTTGTTTGTTATTGCTGCTTGCAATTTAGCATGTCTTCGATCCTATCAACCCGGACAAAGAGGTGGGTTTCCAATATCTTTAGATCAGAGCTTAAAGGGGCATTATGTAACATTTTTGCTCCAAAAATTGAAATACTTTTTTCTTAAAAATATTTGTCGTAATTGTAGATTACTTCAACTTTTCAACATGTTTGTTCGATTCTCACATTTATGACATGTATGATTGGCTCTAAAACAGCCCATGCATGGTGCACATAGTTTGTGGTGCCACCACAAACTACCAGAATGTAAACAAGCATGGCTGACAGCTGTGTTTAAAACAAAATTGAGATGATGAAAAAAAAATTTAGCCTGTGTGGAATACTGGTGCTATTTTATTCTGACAATTTTTGTCAGAAACTACATCCCTATTTTTGGCCACATGTAATTTATCCTTGAATTTCTATGGTGCTGTTTAACAAACGTGATGACTGAGTATTCCTATAGATGATTAACAACAAAGTTTGAAAATACTAATTTGTTCTTCCTGCATTCTCATTTGCTTTTATAAAATGTAGACAATGTTTGACCCGGTGAACCCTGACAAGGAAACGGTCGCGACGCGTCACCTGACGGAACACGAACGCGTGGAGAACGAGTTCTTCCTGATACAGAAGCTGTCCTCGCTCATCAAGAAAGCAAGCTACGTCGAGCTGCCTCGTCATGTGGTGGTAGAGGCGTTGCAAGATCACGTGTCTGAAAAGGGAGTAATGGTAAATATCTAGCGCAACTAATAGGTGCTGTGTTTTATGATAAAACTTTTGTGTTAGCATTAAGAAGAGTCCATATTGCATGTGGGTGTCTTTGGAAGAGTCCATTCTTGCATAGGTGGTCTATATGGGGAATTCAATTTTGAGCATTTCGTAAATACAGACTCCCAGGCACCTCTGGCCCTATATAATTGCTACCTCATATGTTGTATACAATGAATAGTGGACTACAACTTAACATCCTGGCCTAAGGACTGTAATTTACCTTTCCAGCACTGTGCATGACCATCAACTATCAGGATTCAAGCTCACAACATCTTGGTCCAAAGACAGGATCACTAACTACTGAACTATGCCCATTGAAGACCTAACAAACGATTGCAAATGTCAAGAGAGTTTTACGTATTCATTTGCTGACAGGTTGACGTGAACCCAGATGCATATGCCATCCTGAAGTTCTGGGCTTTCGGAAAGGAAGAGATTCTTGAGCAGACCCCAGCCTGGTACAGTAAGGTGTACAGCAAGCTGGCCAATCCTGCACAGAAGGAGCCAAAGTAGGGATCATTCTATTTTGCCACTCTTTGGTCATATTAACCATCACAGAACGAAAAGTTATGGTTTTGACCTTGTTTCTCTTATTGTTGTCCAAACAAATAAGGTCAATGACCTGGACCAGATGGCTGTCACAATGATAACTGGTGCTTTAGCACCCTGTGCGTGGGAGTTGGATGATTTGTCTTCCAGTAATTAGTACAAAATATGAAATCCTTTGCTTCATCAACTGCCTTACATGGCCTTTTAGACATAAGCCTATTAATAACAACTGATTATAGATTATAAAATTCAATAACTAAAGATTTCATCATTTATCATATGTTTAGGTATTACTACAAGAGAGTAGTCGTGGCAGCCCGGCTGAAGAAGGACCAGCAGTTGATCCTGAAGGGTTTTAAAGACATCCCCTGTAAGGCTTTGGAACACCTGTTACCTGATGCTCGCATACGGATGACACGTGCAGACAAGGGCATGGTCTACACAACCATCCTCGTAGCACTGTTTGGTGTCATTATACAGGTAAACTCACCATGTAATGGAAAGATTGTACTGTACATTCCATACAATGTATTGAAGATAAGGCCATGTTGATTTGATTATATGGATGACATCTCTGATCCTCCTCCAAAACTGATGCCAATGTGCGAATGTTTTTACCGTGGTATTTTGCATACTTAATATTAATTTTGCATTTGAAAGATAGCCATTGGGCTAAAGAGAATAATGAGAGAGATTAAATGTCACCATGTTTTATCCTTGCAGCGTCTTGTTTTAGTAATGGCATCTCTGGAGATCCCCATTTTGCTGATGTTGGCGGCGACGATTGCGTTTGTTGTCCTGCGCTCGTGGACAGTGTACAAGAATAGACGGAACCTGTACCTACTGGAGCTGTCAAGAACGTTGTACTTCAAAAATGTATCAAGTAACAGGTACCCAGTTGTTTTATTTGCTTGGCCCATGGGTTCATGTCATCTTTCCTAAAAAATACTAATATATACATTGTGTACATTTAAGAGATCCCACAAAAACTTTGCCCTAATGCCCTCAGGCAAAAAAAAGGACTTTCAATCATTATAAAGAACCATTATAAATGTTAATAATATTCATTTTTATCTTTGACTTTGTCAACAGGGGGCTGCTGACTGCGTTAGTGGATCGAGCCCAGGAGGAGTCGGTGAAACAGGCACTTCTTGTGTACACATTTCTGCTGGGGAGAACTTCCCCTTTAGAACTGGAGGCTGAGGATGAAGGAGACATCATCAGAGGTTAGGGCAGGGCTCTAGGCAGTGCCTATTTTCCAGAACTTTGCAGTGCGTGACAGAAAAAAAAAAATTATTATAAACTAGTTTGTTAACTTAGACGGATAAAATTTACAACAATCTTTTGTAAAAGTATAAAAATATCCCAAGGACCACAGATAACCACATCTTCCTGGAAATTGAATACACTGTAAATGTAAACACTACATTGTACTTTCCAGGTGGCATCACTGTGTTTGAGCTGGAGGAGCTCATCAACCGGTGGATACTGCTAGAATCTGGTTCCAAGATTGTCTTCGACTCGTCGGACGCGATCAAGCTGCTGGAGACGTTCGGTATCCTGACGGGGGACGACATAGATGACGATCGGCGCCGTCACCTTTACGTTCTTCCCATCGAGGCCGCCCTACGACAACTCCCGCAGCAGTCGATGTCACACAGGCATCACCAACCACAGTTTGATGTCCAACAGGTTGATACCATGGCTGCGAGTATTCAAGGCCTGAACGAAACAATGAAAGACTTTGCCAAAAACGTCAAAGCAAGGCTACATATAATAGAAAAACGGTTGGACGATGCACAAGGTGTCCCTGATGCTTTTCAAGCGTCTCCTAACGTCAAAGATGTGAAAGCAGAGGGTGTTGAGTCATCAACGACTAAGGATAAAGATATGGTTGAGGAGGAAAGAAGATCACAAAAAGACCAAACTCCAGTACAAAAGAACGATAAGGTGTAGTTATTGATAGTGGACTTATCAGCATCTATGTTGCAAGGGTAAATTATGGTACATGGAAAATGTGCCGAGCTTCCAATGCAATTTCAGGGCGGCAAAACAGTTGCTTGTTTATAGTTCATAATCATAGGCTGTTTATAGTTATGGACGGTACCAAAAAAAAAAAACAGGGATTTCTCACTGATGTAGCTTTTTTTTGTAATTTTGCTTCAAGTGTGAAATGATGACAAACATTTGCTGAAGATGGCAGTAAATGTCAATATCAGGTATATTTCCTCATCCAGAATATTTTTTTGTTTAACCACCCTGAAATAGCATTAGCCTTTAAAGCTTTCTGCTCTTTGTGACTGTTGAGAAGTGTGACATATCACAGCTAGGATCTAGTGTGGTGGTTATGAATCTTATCACTATAAACGTTTCAGTCAAATGATGTGACAGAATTTTATGTGCTTAGCTGTAAAAGTATAATGTCTACTGAGGATGAGATCCAATTGATAAATTATTTTACTGCAAATAAAATTTTTATTTCAATTTTGAAATGAATTAAATTCATGAGCCACCTTTAACTCCCATTATTATTGGTATACCATGTTGGTGCCAAACAACTTTGTGAACCATACATGTACATGTCATTGTTTCTTGCCAGAACTGTACAGCACTAGTACTGTGTTGCAAATTGTCATGTAAACAACCAATTTCATAATTCTGCTTAATTCCTGCAGGTTAACTAAGTGAATGTAAAGTCATCTAGACTTTGTGTCAATGCAGCAGCTTCAATTTGACTTTCCAGTATCTGCATATCAAATATCACAGCTTTAGGCTGACTAGTTTGTTAGATGTGCATACAGTCTATCAGAGTAAGTACTGTAAGTCTACAAATTTCCGCGGTATATTTAGATTCGCGGAATTCGCGGGGAACTTTCTACCGCGAATCTATTTCCCCGCGAATATGTTTTGCGTAAGTGCGCCCCCCTCCCCACATGCATTAACGACGGTAAGCGAAACACAAACACACGCAACAAACACAAATCACTGCAAATCAACTTTATTCTTAGCAAATGTACGTATGTTGAGTAACAAAAATTTTTAAAGCTATACTGATGTCAAAAAATTATAATATTATGAGACACCGAATCGCGATACTGAGGCACTGGCCGTGTCAAACGTGCACCGCCGGACAAAAATCTCTGTGTGCAGAGCGCCGGCCATGCGCGCCCGGGCGCTTGAAAATTGCGGGCACATCGGGCATATCTACAAATATTTTGATTAAAAATATAACTGCTGGTATCTGGGAAATGTTAGTTGATTCTCTTTTGCGCCCTGCTTTGCGGGCGTTTTTTTTTGCTGGATAGAAACGCTACCGTGGGCCGCTACAAAACCGAAGGCGACCTTTGCATACTTCCGGGTTCAAAATCTCGCCGAAGACGGCATAAATATTTTTAGTAATATATATTTTCCCGAAAGATTCTTTCGATTATGCATTTCTTCACTAGAGTATCAATGTGTAGTTGTGGAAAATAGCGTTTTAGCGCTTATTTCCGAACAAAGAAAATTGTTTACACGTGCGTCAGATCGATCGTCATCTATACCACCGGCAGTCTCGCGCGGTGCACGAAACAAATTTTTGCGCCGCGTTTTAGGATATAAATGCCGGAACACGAACTTTTATTATTTTAAATATACACTTTACAAATTTTTCTTTGAAAAATAGCCAAGGAGAAATCGCGAATCGAAAAATACCGCGGATTGTCCATTTTCCCGAAACCGCGAACTTTAGGCCCCGCGAATCTAAAGAGACTTACAGTAATAAAGAAGGCTTAAACTGATATAATTATCAAGTGTTTGCTCATACCTTACTTACCATAGCTGACATGTTCAGAGAAAATACATATTTGGTAATTTCTATCATGAAAGTTCATCTGTGTTGGTAGTCCAGGATGTTCCTGGAGCACTCATGGCCAAGTTCAGCCAGTTCTGAAGTTTCATAACATACTTACATCGGTCACCTGGACATTCTGTTTCACAGGACACTAAGAATATTGGACACCGAACAAGGCTTCCTGAGAGGGATGAAAGAGGCTATTTACATCAGGGCCCTTCACTCAACTGCATCGTTCATCAGATACCTTTGGCTTAGTGTTGAGTTGGGAAAGAGTTACAAGTTCGAGTACCAAAAATTAAAAGACTGCAAGTTAATTGTAGATGATTCACACATGTGTAAAGAAATCATCATAAAGAAAAGATGATCTCTCAATTTGGAACATTGCTAATAATCAGACAGAACTAGTGTAACAACCCACAAGTGTTTTATTATTGTACCTTGGATATTTCTAAGTAAAGAAAACAAACAAGTTTTTACAGGTTATATTTAAATTTTCCATCATACTGCTCCCAATTTTTTTTCCAGTGTTGCCTACTCAAAATAGTTTTTAATGAAGCAAATATACAGAGCCAGCAGGCAAGTAAAGTCCATGTAACTAAACCTTTAGCAGCACACTGATGTAGCTGATTGGCTACTAATTCTCTACAGGTTACGGCAAGGAGTTGGTTACGGCTTTAAGCGGCAGGGAAAAGGTAAATTGTTGCCAAAGAACATTGTCCACCAATCATTTACATCTCACAGTTATGCAGACTACATGTACATTGTGGTGGGACAAATTTGTTTCATCACAAGCGAGCCTTCTTGCTGAAGAAGCTCATGATAGCCCGCACACATTCCTCTGACAGCCATCTCCCTTCCAGCACTTCACACTCCTTCTCATTGGCACTGTGCAGCTGCTGACGCTCCTGGTCCCGGACTAGCTTCTTCCCTTCCTGCACAGACTGAGGGGGTAAAAGGAATTATTTTGCAAGCATTCCTGTAAACATCAGTTATCCGTGGAAGAGATTACATTTTTTTTTTACATCTTACCTGTATTTTTTAAAATCTGCATCAACATCTTCCTATGTTTGCAAAGAGAAGTGCAAACGACAACTTATGGTTCAAAACACGTGTAATGTACCAACCTGTGGTGGAAGCTGAGCAACATACTCCACTCTTGTTTGCACCTCTTTCTGGAAGACATCCTGTGGAAAGACCTCTGTCACCAGGCCTCTTTCACATGCCTCATGTGCAGTCAGCTTCTTATTGAAGAGCAGCATTTCATTAGCCTGAAGGAAAAACATGGATGTAGAACACTCAGCGCAGTGCAACAAATATCTGATGAAGGTCAAAGTGTTTGGCTGAAAATTCATGGTGTTTCTGTTCTGTAAGAGCAAGGCCTAAAATTTTACAACTATGGATTCCGCAGCACAGATGAGCTTTCATTCAAAAAGTAGGTTATATGCAGTTGAATGCATCAACTAAAGTCTGCTCTCACAAAATACTTGAATTGTGTTCTAGTAAAATCATACAAAGATGCACAATCATAGACACTGATCTCTACTGACCTTGGTATTACCCATGAGTTTGGGGAAAATGTATGACGAGCATCCCTCTGCACTCTGCCCCAACTCAGTGAATGGAGTATGGAATGTAGCCTGCAATATGAGAAATAAAAAAAGCTTCGCTTCACACATATTCAAATTTGCTTGCATGATGTTATGTTTTCATTGAATTCAATTTGTAATTTTGTTTTCCTATATAACAGCGTTTTTCCAAACAACTCTAACCTGGACCAGAAGACTTATCATAATTTTTATCATATTCCAGTGAAAAACAAACAAAATCACAAAGAGGAAATGTGCTTATTATCATATGTTAGCATTTAGAACAAGTAAGATATTGTGCTCTGTAAACATAAGATGGTAATCTATACATCTTAGGAACTACTCATCTTTCCCAAGAAACTGTTCTTACCTTGTCAGTAGCAAACACAGCGTCGAACAGGCCCAACACAGTGACAGACACTCCCACTGCCGGACCGTTGATTGCACCAATCAGGGGCTTTGGGAAGTCGATGAAGGCAGTGACAAATCGCCTGGTTGACAGAAAAATGGAATACTGGAATATTCTTAGCATATCATGTATGTACCTGACAGTATGTTCTTTACAATTTGTTTCACAATTAAAGTGGTTTTCGTCTCAAAGTTCTTCTGGTGGCAATGATTGCAAATATTATACACATTAATAAAAATCAATCTTAAACAGTAAGTTTGCTGAAGCTACCGTTACCTGAGTAATTCCCTGCCGTCCCGAGCCATCTTGGGCATGTCCTTGGGGTCAATGTTCATGAAGTTGCCAAGGTCATTTCCACTACAGTAGTAATCACCAGCACCTTTGTACAGTTTATAAAAACAAGTTTAGGGCCGCGTCAATGAAAATTAGCATTGGACAGAAGAGAGTGGAAAGCAGGCCCACATTATCAAAAGATGAGAGTGGTGACAATTTTTTTATGCAAAGAGGTTTTTGTCAGACATTGATTGTTCTGGTGGATGTATTACCTCAGATCCTGTTTCCTTGCCTGGATTTTCCAGGAACACCCCTTTTCTACCTAACTTTTCTCTTCAAATGTGCACAAAGCTAATATACCTGTTATAACAGCAACTGTGACTGAGTCATCCTTGCTTGCTTGGTCCAACGCCTCGACAATTTCATTGTACATCTGCAGGTAAAAACAACATGCCTGACTTTTAATATGCCAGTTTTTAATGGCCAAATTTTGGTAAATCAAAACCAAAGCAAATAAGCTTAAACTTGGTTTATCCTCATTTGGTTTATCCATATACAAAATGTACTTACAAGCCAAGTAATAGCATTCTTCTTAGCAGGCCTGTTGAGTAAGATAGAGTAGACCTTGTTCTCCTTGGTTACTTTTATCTCTTTGAAGACACTGGCTTCTTCACCTGCAAATAGATTAGACAAATTAATATTGGGGCTAAAGTCCATCTTCAATGACTGTGTTTAAATGATTGAAAAGGTCAATAGTGTCTGAGTTTGTTATTTTTCTAGCACCCGTAATTACCAACTTCCTCCAGACTACTTCACCAAACATGGACAGGAAATGACAGAATTTTACTGACATTATGATGAAGACATATAATCTCCAAGCAGATATTGACAGGCAAACTTGTAATATTTCTCTACACCACTATTGCATTGCTACTATTGTAGGGGATGAAAACTAAAACATCTTGGACCCTGTTCATACCAGACTTATATTTAGCGGTTTCAACCGGTTTTTCAAAAACCGGTTTTTATTTAACCTGGTGTGAACGCAAATTAACCGGTTTTTTAGGGGTTTAAATCCGATTTTGAAAAACCACCTTGGTTTTTGAGGGGTTTTTCCACCGAAAAACCTGGTCTGAACGCTAAGGGTTTATTGAACCGGTTTTTGCGTCAAAATTCCGGGGTCACGGGGTCAGCATCCTTACCGTGTGCGACCTACAAGCTTTTTTGATCGCGTTGTTTTGACCAACTTGAGTCGTTTCCACTGTTTTTCCATGGTTTCTCTTCATTTTGCGATGGAATCAGCAAACGCAACCTGGTCGGCCGAGCCGCTCCTGATACTTAGGTTTGGAGAGCAGGAGTCGCCGAATTCGAAAAAGCTAGGGGGGGGGGGCGAGGGCTCTACCCATGCTCTACCGAAACAAAAATGTTGGAGGAGGCTGATTTCTTGAAGATAAAGGATCAGTGCCGCAGTAAGGTAAAAAAAACTGAAGACGGCATACAAGCAAGAAGGCCAAGGACAACAATCAGAAGAGCGGGAGGAACGGTTATTCAAACTGCAGTCATGGCCGATTAATTGGATATTCATCGGACAGGATTTTTTCAAAACCGGTTATCAAAAGTCTGGTATGAACGCTAAGGGTTTTAGCCGGGTTTTTGAAAAACCGGTTGAAACCGCTAAATATAAATCTGGTATGAACAGGGTCTTAGTGTTGCCCGTGTTTTTGTCTGAGAATTCTTCAAAACGAAAACCTGAAGTTATCAATGCTTCTGTTGTTATTCAGAAGAACATTTTAAGTGGAAGAAGTTCATAACAACATTTTAATTTGTTGAATTGTTCAGGTACAGGTACAGGTCTGAATCTGTTCCTAAACCTGTGTAAAATTTGTTTAGATACACAGCTCTAGTTGGGAACCGAGACAGAAATCTGCAAACCCACCTGCCTGCTCTGTCTCTGCAGCTGCGTCTTCTCCTGCAAGACTGTTGATGAGGTCTATGTACTGCTTCTGAGCCTCATCCTAGGAGATTACAAAAAAACAAGTAAATCATAGTGTGAAATAAGATTTCTCCACTTAATAGAGAATGGTGCTTGGAAATGGATGTCAGTCCAGTTTTAGCTAATTGGTTCTAGCATAGGTTATCAATTTCATAATTTGATCATTTTTCACCCTACCTGACTAATATCCCCCAAGCTGCTCCAAGCCTGCCACTTGGCACGACCCACAAAGTCAAAGGCTCCTGGTTTGGGGGTGTTACATGCTCCTTTGGTAGCCTGGTGGGAGACAAAAGTGTTCAAATAATATCAACTTCATTCATAGATGCCATCTACCTTTTATCAACATTTGTATCTGGTTTGTGTCTGTTCATTTCGGTCATTTCTCATATCTGTTAAAGTACCTTACATATACCTACACACATCTTAAAGAAAGCCAGAGTTGGGGCCATCTGTGTGTCTGGGTTTAGACTGTTCCAGACAATGGGTCTATGGTAGCCTATGGATCTTCTGTAGCTCTCTCGCTGAGGTGCCTTTTTGAAGCTTGATAAATTGAATTGAATCCAATAAAGCATTCAAAAGATCCAAAACTTAAGTAAATTATTAAAGCGAATACAATGTGAATACCTGTTTGAATAGAGCATAGATTTGCAGTTTGACGGCGTTGTCTGGTTCTTCCTTCAGTGTGTTCAACCTTTCCTTGGCTGCCTCGAACTCAGCATCTCGAGCTCCGAAGGCTGTTCGTCCCATGTGTATGAACTGTGTCCTTTGGACTCTCGAATTCAGCAAGCACCTACAGTTTATAAAGATGAATGACGTGTTCAACCTTACACAACTACACATATGTATTTAGTCTAGTTTAAATTGTGCATTAGATAATTAAGATATCAACTACATAACCATATTTTAATTTTTTTTTAACCATTCTTCATTATCATTATTCACGAGAAGCTCAAATTGGCGTGCAAGCCACTAGGCCACGTTTCATAAATTTGAGGTCATGAGGGAAGAGGTAAGGGTCAGGCAAAATTTTTACACGTCATACAAGATACAAAATACATACATATCGATACAGTTGTTTGTAGAACAAGTCAAGTCGTTCCAACTTATCTATAAAAATCAAAGACATTATATACTAGTATTCTATAAATGCCTTGTGAAGTTAAAAAGCTACATTTTAAGGGAAACAAAAGACTCCTCTACTTTACCACATTGCAAAACGGTCCAAAGATGACCTTACCTAGCCGGTAAACCACCTGCAAACGCAGATGAGAACCGTAAACACTGTCTCAGAGCAGACGCCATACTTTTGATCACTTTCGAAGGTCACTTCTGGATGGTACCACTTTTTCCTAGGGATAAAATGCTATTTTGTTTCCATTTTTTTTTACAAATTACATTAAAATGGTTTAAATATATACATTAGCAGTAAAAACTTAATTGGTTTATTTATAGTACATAAACAAATACGACACATCTATTATATGTTTATGTTATATACTCATATTAACAATACCTATACCCCTTATAGTTTCCAGTGGACTCTACCATAAAATATAACCTTTGACCGGAAAACCCGCAGGGATCATATTTCTGCCGTAGTTCCGTTCTGTACATGCGCAGTAGGAGCTGTTGCGTTGTTCGATATTCAAATTTTCGTGACGTCATCATTCCTTCGCCCAACTAAGCCAGTGAAAATGGCTCCTCCGGAAGAGTTCGAGGTAAGCCTGTTTCCAAATTTTCCCTGAGCAAAAACGTCGCCCTTTTTGTCCAGATTCCGTAGACTAGGTGGGTAGTTTGGTCACCGTTCTTGTCAGGTTGTGAAATTTGGTCGATTTAGGCGAGGTTTGTGGGTGTAAAAAGGAGGGTTTCCCTCGTCTGTGTTTCTGGTTTGGCGCCCGCCCGGCTAGCACGTCTAGTCAGACGACAGATCGTGTGCAGGAACAACAAAGAATGTTCTCAAGTGCTCCCAATTCACCTCCAGCTTCAATCCCATTAACTACACGCAGAAAATTAAAAAGGGAGGAAGATTAGCTTTTTAGAAAACATTCTAGAGGGGAAATATTGTGCCTAGATACCCATGAATTTTTGAGGTTGCGTAAAAAGAGCTGTCAAAAAAGCCAGAAAAGTTTGAGATTTAGCTGAGCGCGCGGTGAAACAAGGACGGCATGTTGGTTCGCCTGCATACATGGCTGCCTACGATTAAATTAAAAGATAACCATGTCCAGAACTGGCGAATTGGAATATTGAACTAGTAATATCTGTATAAGTTAGTTTGTTATAATTTTTCGGCGCCAGGTTTTTGTTTTCACGTGCATTGTCCAGTAGGCAACGGCCGGCTCTGTCCGAGGTGCACAAAAGCCATTCACAACTTGTCATTTCCAGCTGGGCTGCAGGACACCGGAAGCAGCTCTCTGCCAACTTCTTGAGTGATTTGCGCCCCAAACGTCCCTGCTAACTCGTTCTGCGTAGAAATTTACTATCCGGTTGTTGCAGGTCTTGTTTTCTTGTTCAGTTCTTCGCTGAAAAAAGATGAAGTTTGAACAATGGTGTGAAATGTAAACCAAGACTGCAGTAATGTGAGAAATCCTTCTGGTCAGCCATGCATGGGTATGCATGACACACCAAAGTGCAAACATTGCGTTTCCTCCCAGCTTGGTGATGTCACTTCCTGTGAAGGGGTTTATTTAAACGTTTTAAAATTGAAATGAAAGCTACCTTTTTGAAGTTTTTCAGCACCAGCCAGAAGCATTTTGATTCATGGATTTTGATTTTGGCTGCTTGGTTGATGAGTGTCGCTTTCTGACATCTTCAATGACTTCCGTGATGTTGCTTCCATGTGGTGTTTGGTTTTGGTTGACTGGTATCATTTGCTTTTTAGTCAACACATGCAACTGTATAAGACCGCAGACATTCAAGCTGGTTCTTATTTTTTTAAATTCCAGGCCACATGTAAAATCTTCAGGCAATTTACCCAGAAAGTCAATTGATCACAAATGTACTTCATAGCATTGCTCATGATTTTGTCCCTGAACAGTGTCCAGGGACAGTTGAATTGAACATGGTGGACTTGGACGTAATTAAGCATACTTTGTATTATCCCTCCCCTTGTGATGTTACTTACTAGTATCCGTGTGCCAAAGTCATTTTTAGGTGTGCCAAAGTCATTTAGGTGTGCAGTCTTGAAAGAATGTTGAAAACCATGAATATTTCTGCAAATAAACAATCATACAAGTTGCTATGTAATATTGTTAGCCAAATCGTGTGTGCACTGTGCACCTATGATATGCCATCAGAAAATTTTCTGTTAGGATATCTGCACGGATTATAATATTCAGCATTGATTTTATCTATGGTCCAGACTCCAGACAAAGGTCATTTGTTACTGGAACTCAAGCTTGTTGACAAAACTTCCTGTGGTATTAGATGTCTAGACCCCAAGTCAGCCAGCAAATCACTTGTATAATTTTATCAATGTCAGTTTTTATTGTCAAGAATGGCTGATGTTTTCCTGTTTTCACCTACCAGACACAAGTTCTGTTCATTGTTAATTCTCACAATCTGAGCTTTAGTTGTTTATGAATTATATGCTACATGAATATGACCATCAAGATCATGGAGCTGCAGTTGTCACTTGTAACTTCAGGTCTTTACCCAACAGCATGTGACCTTGCCAATATCTACCTTTCTAAGATGTTGCAGAAAGAACCAATTTTGGTCTGGTTTTTGCCTTAGATAAACGAAAATTGTCTCCAGTTGGCCACAGGTTTTTCATCACAGATAAGCTTGACTAGATTTTTTTGGAGAAGTTGGTGCAATTGAGGTTCTACGTGTGTCTATAAAAACAGCAAGGAAACTTGCTGTGGCATGTCCCACTAGGCATGACAGGCATGGCCTTTAATGTTTACCATAAGACTAGGATTGTTGGCTTCCATTGTGTCCCAACGCCCACGTACACCCAGGAGGTAACAGGATAGGTAACCAGCGACCCAAGATGAACCATGATGCACCCGCACAAAGTTTCAACACAATTATTGACATTATCCATATTTACAACTCTCACCTTGATGAGAAGGTTTTTCTGCTGGTTGTCATGTAGGCAGAATAATTTGTCACTCATAGGAACTGGCTTCCCAGAGAAGACATTTTATCTAGGTTTCTACTGGTAGTTATTTCTTGAGCCACCAAAGGACCTTGTCTCTGGGGTATGCTGATCCTCTGCTTTGCTTCAGGCAGTTGCCCAAGCTGAAGGCCAATCAAATTATTAACGTTTGCTCTTCAGAGAGTTCTGTGACCTCTTCTTAAGACCTGGTTCTGCAGCTCTGACTTAGCAACTTTGAAGCTCTTATCTATTGTAATCACAACAGTGTCATATAATTATTATTACAAATTCATCATTCAGGATTCTGAATGATATATATTCATATACAGAAGTTTGCCCTGGATATGTCATATGGTCAAGATTTACCAGAAGCTATTAAAAAAAAAACTTTTCAACCCTTTTACCATGTTTACTTAAAGGTGCAATCTTGTCCACACGTTGGACCCGGACAAGACACATGAATTGAAGATAGTTTAGCCTCTTCCTTGCCTCAGAGAAATGGGCTGATACACTGAAATATCTACTCGCCTCTGAAAACAGAACAAATAGATTTAGATTGATACAGAATACTGTTAATGCAATTTTATTCAACATCTTGACTTGAGGCTCAAACAAGTTGAAAAACGAGGCAGCCTTTTATCCTGTTTTTTCCAAGTAATGAGATCAACTACCATGGTCCATGTCGGTGCGACAGTGCAATGGAATTAACTCAAAACAGGCAGGCCTTGTCCCTGCTGGCTAGCTGAAACATGCACTATATGTAGAATGACATGCAAGGTCTGATGTAAAGTAGCCCTTGGGCATCTCTGTCTAAAAAACGTTAATGGTGCAGTTACATTGCACATGGCAGCAGCCACTGATTAGGAATGGTTTTAGGTGGGAACTGATGTGATGGTTGCATGTTTTATTTGCCACAGCATGATAGTAAAAATTTACTAGTAATGTTTCAAGACTTGTGTTGCATTATGTATTAGCTTTCTTTATGTAGAATCCATTGTCTCATCACCAATGCAAGGCTTGTTCAACCAGATTCTGATCATCATTTACAGTCCTACTGATTAACTACTCGATATTTTACAGAAATATTTATTTGCTTAAAGCATTTAGGGAGCTTTCAATTTTAAAGGTACCAATTATTGGCTTGCAAATCAGGAGGTTTGTTCGCCATGGCTCGAGACAAAGGTCGATGTGCATGTATCTGCCAGTCCAAAGTCTCATTGCAAAAACCTGAACACAGATGCATGAGCATATATTTAGGTTAAATATAATTGCCAGCCAGCCTGTTGTAATGCAGCCAACCCTGACAATTTTTGGTAATCCAGTACATGTTTATTAGTTTAAAAGAAGTATGCTAACATGCTTGCCTTCTTTGTATCAATACTATGAGCTTGTTGTTGCTGCTATACTGAACGTTATTGATGTTTTAATGGTGATATAAAGATTTTAACCTAAGGACACTCACACAGGCCATGCATGCCTAATGATAATCCAATTAGGCAAGGCCAGAAGAATTTTTAGTTCATGGAGAGGAGGCTGTATTTTTAGCTCATTTAAATTTTAATCTGTATCAAATAGAAATCCAGACAAAATCTTGCAGTGATCTCAAAGTTCTACCAGTAATTGCCTTTTACATCATGTTTTGTTTGGAGTCATGTCAGAGAAAATCTCCCAGCTTTGATTCATTTGGCTATTGCAGTATTGTTGTGACAGTTTATATGGATTGAACTTGTTACTACAATGTTAGGATAAGTTGTTCTCTTACTCTCAGTGATTATTTGAGTAGTCAAAAGTTTCATGAATATCACAGTTTCGACAGTATAAAGATATACAGATTTATTATTTTATGAAGCATTTTTGCTTGAATATACGAATGATAAATTTAAAACCACAGGTAATGATTATTCTACCACAGTGAGTCATTACCCCATGCATGGTTCCCTACTGCCATGGGGACATTGGCACCCCTTTATGTATGGAACAATGGAAAACATAGCCGGGAGAAAACACCACAGCATGCCTGTCGCACATATGCAGCTTGTAGACAGTTTGTACTTTAAATACAAAGCCAGTATCTCTATAATCTTGAAACCTTTTATTCATTCTGGTACAGTGAGATACTAGGTGCTATAAGGTCTAGGAAAAAATTGTTGTGTTTCCTTTTTCCTGGCTCACCCCAGAAAAAATTGCCGAACCTAGCGTTTATTTGGGTAGACCCCTGCAACGGACATAAATTTTTCATGCTGATCAACATTTTCTAGCTCCATGATCTGACACCTGAGTAATGAAATGTTGTACAATCTGGTCTTCCAATATTGATGAACTATAAAATATAACTATATAAGTGTCCTCATACAAGATTTACTTTGTGAAACTGTATTGTATAATTTGGATCACTAGAGATCACCAAAGTCTAATAAATAAGGAAAAAAAACAAACATAATCCTTACCTACTGGCTCATTTTTTTTCAGGACTGAAACAATAAACACAACAATTTTTTTTCCTATGCCTAATTGTCTGCCTTGGAGATTGATACTACCACTACTTGACTTGTGCTGCAGACAAAAATGGGCGTAATAATAATAACCTTCCCCCTGCTGTCCAACTACAGAACCAATTTGGTACCAAAGGCTATGGCTACTTTATCTACACTTTCACTTTACAGTACGTTCTGTAGGGGTAATTTCCCACTTACCTAGCAATTACTGTCTGTAAATGTAATTTCCCATGTGGACTTTGAATATTCCCACATTTCCTTTGTGAACCAGAATACAATGGAAACCATTGTTGTTGTGAGGAATAATTCAACCACGTTTTTGCTTTGGGTCCAGCTGTCCCCTGTAATGTTTTGCGCTACCACATTTCCTTCTTCCAAGTTGAAAAGGACGGTGTTCCTGGACTGAAAGAATTCTGCTAATGTAGTTAACTATTTAGTATGTGTATTACAATAGATCATGATCTGGTACTAACTGCCTTTCGAAATCTGTCACTATCAGGAGTTGAGCTTAATTTGGTTAAGTAGACAAATATTGAAGTGAAACCCTGTACAGCATCAAAAGACATAAAAGTACACGTATATTAGATCAGCATCAACATATACATGTAGGTTATGGTAATTTTGTGATACACATGGTTGGAGAAAAAATTCTAAAGAAAGAAAAGAAGTAAATTTGCAGGAAGAGACAAAAAAAATTTGATAGCATGATCATGAGAGATTATGCACAATAAGCCCTAATGTGAAACTTATGCATATCAGGCTTTTGATACCATTAGTTTAATGTCTATTTGCGCCAATTTATTCTTTTGATCCTTTCAATTTGTTAATCGACAACAATTTACCAGATAAAGATAAGTGATGTTTTTCTCCTTATATTTTTTCCAGGTGGAGAAACTGCAGGCTCGTAGGGAGATGAAGGGAAGAGTGGAGTTCCTGGTGCGCTGGAAGGGTTACGGCGCTGAGGAAGACTCCTGGGAACCCATATCAAACCTGGAGGGCTGTGTCGACATGATACACGCCTTCTACGAGAACAGACGGAGATTCCTGCTCAAAAAGCAGCAGCAGATCGAAAACAAGATCATCGAGCAGGTCACATCGTCTAACCCCAACCAGCCGTCCCGTTCTCGGAGTAGAATTCTCAGTGAAATGTTGCCGGGAAATGCGGTTCCCAACGGATCTGGCCCCAACGGACCCACTACGACACGGTCACTTGAACGCGGTGCATCTCCTCGGAGGATCACTGAGATCAAGCAGGAGCCTGGCAGCGAACCCATCTCTCCTAGGAAGTCTCCTCAAGCGAGGCAACAGAAATCTCGGTCTGTGTCACCCAAACGGCAGGGGTCAAGATCTATACACAAAGAGGAACCTTCAGCCCGAACTGCATCACCCAAGAGAAAGCACAAGTCTCCGTCACCACAAAGAAGGACCAAAAGAAAACTCGGAGAAGGGCCGTGTAGCCAGGAGAAAGATTTCGAGGTCTCCAGCACAACCACTACAACCAGCGAGGCCAGCGAAGCCAGCAGTTCCTTCTCTGTCGGAGCTGAAAACGAACTCATCACCCCCAAAGCTCTCCCCGCCCCCTCCAGGCGACCAAGTTTGCTATTGGGACCGACCTCTCCACACCGACAGAGAAGTCTCTCGTTTTCAGCGCAGATATCTGCCAGTGATCCAACCAGCCCGACCAGAAGGATGCCATACCAACCGGGAAGCCCACTGAGGATGCTGCCTGCCGACAGTTTCCCCTTATCCCACAGCAAGCCCCAGGAGCCCTCCATGTCGGAAACTCTGTCTGTGACTTGTCCGGATAGTGTCAAACAACTGACAACACAGCAGCTGTCGCCGGTCGTCAGGATAAAGCCTGTGTCTGCAGAGGAGATTTCCCAGCAACGCGAGGCGCCCATCTCGAGAAGAACAAGAAGCCGTACATCCGAGTCTGCTGATGTCAACGTGAATGGAGAAACAGGTATTAACATCAGTGGCTCTTCATCGTGAACAGATTGTAATTTGTATTGCTTGCTATTGTTATGCCTTACCTTGTGGAATTTCTTCAGTGCCGGCTGTGCATTTTGTACTGTTCATTGGTATTTGTCATTCTGAAATTGCATGGGATGCCTTTGAAATTAATTTCAACACTAGCAGCGTAGCTTTAGAACAAGGCTGTCATTTCCTTGATAACTTAGTTGACAGTTCTAATAAACTTTAAACCCATTCAAACCCCTACATACATGTCCCAATGTTTCTTCCAGAATCAGATGACTCCGAGAGCCACTCTTCAGCCAGTGTTGTTGAAGTTGGTGCAGTTGTAAAGAGGAGATCTCCCCGAAAATCTGGCCCCAAAACTAACACTACCGTGGACCAGGCAAAAGCCAGTGAAAGTGACAGTGATGACAGCGAGGTCTCGATAAGACGACCCCTGCCGAGAAAGGTCAAGAGACCAGGATCCAAGTACAAACACATCGCCCTGCGGAGTGAAGAGGGATATACTCACATCAAGCTTCTACACAGCTGCAGGGGCAAGCCTATGTTGAAACCACAGGTAACATGCATTTTTGTTTACATGCAGTATTTCTTACCTCAGTTCCTGGAGTATACAAAACAAGAGCTTCCATAAAGCTGTTTGCCGGTGTGGTGTTTTTGTGCAACAAAATCATATGCAACAAGTATGTTCTATCAATAAGGTGACCATAAGACCTCTGTACTTTTATTTAAATCTAGCTACCCTGACTTACATACCTTGTGTGAATGGTACTAAGGTGCATATGCACCCAGTAATTTCAGCCCTGTATTCAATGAACTCCAAATATGAATTGTAGGATTTTCCCATCTGCTCTCCAGGGTATGAAAGAACTGACGAATGCCTTAAACGAGATAGAAGATGATGATGACAGTAAACTCCTGCTGCTGAGTGGATCGGGAAGTGTGTTCTGTGCTGGGATAGACATCACCTACCTGGCAACACAGGGCTTCCAGAGAAGGAGAAGAGCTGCTGCAGAGCTGGCTGAACCTCTGAGGTGTGTGGTTAAGTTTTGTTTCCCTCTTGAAAGTTTTATGATGTTCTCAAATTTATAAAAGTCAAGTGCAAAGAAAGGCAAGAATACACTCAGTGATGTGTGTAGCGCCATTTCTCTTGTTACAGAATACATGTCAGGTTGAAATAATTTTTGAAGCTGTACACCCAATTTTTTCGTAGGTTTATGTGAAGATCTGAAATGTAAACAGTATAATACACCTAGGTGTTTTACACCAGTAGAATATACCTAGGTGTCAAAAAAATAATAAAATCATTGTTGTTTAACATAATTTTATATTGTGCACCCAATTTTTTAGCTTGAGTACACCACTGCACCTATTCCCAAAAATTACTTTTGAGCCCAGCATAGTTCTGTTCAGCAGAGTACCTTTTGGACTCAAGATAGAACCATGGATATGACTAAAATGTACCCACCTAATGGCAAAGTTCTTGACTGTCTTGTGTAGGGAATTGGTGGAAGCACTGATCGAGTTCACCAAGCCAATCGTGGCAGCAGTCAACGGGCTGGCGTTTGGCTTCGGGGCGGCACTGCTCGGCCTGTGTGACATTGTGTACGCCAGTGATAAGGCCATGTTCCAGATGCCATACATGCAGATTGGACAAACGCCAGAAGGCTGCTCCTCCTACACTTTTCCACTGGTACTGGGAACAGCACTGGTGAGTATTCACTCACTGAGTACTGTCTGGTTTAGCAGATCATTGATATTCCTGTAGTTTTTTTTATTACCTTGCCATTGTTTATGAACATTCTGCTCGTGATTGTTAATTGAGACTGGCTCTGTGTTGTAGATAGAAAAACTGTGTTTAACCTTATACAGTGTATGTAACATTTGATTGGTGTTCCAGTCCAGTGATGTGTTGCTTGCTGGTCGAAGGCTGACTGCATCAGAGGCATACAGTAAAGGCCTGGTGTCACAGGTCTTCTGGCCAACCAGTCTAATGGGGGAGGTCATCCCCAGAGTCATCAAAATGTCCACCTGTTCAGCTAAGGTAAGGAACAGGGTGTTTACAGGGCCTAACTAGCAACCTGCAGTTTGCTGGTGATTTTCAAGATTTGCAGTTAACAATATTTTGAAGTTGCAATTTTTCTTGTTGAAAACATGGGACAGGATTCCCCTCAGACAGTGAAATAACTGCCCACCGTACCGCTATATACTACTTATTGAAGTGCTGCTATACTCATTTTAAAATGTAGGGTGTTTCTTTCCTATTTTTTCCTATTTTCTCTGATGATTTTTCTCAAATCTATCAAAATTTGTCAGGCTTTTAGGCATGTTTCTTCATTTCTTCCTGGTGCACCCACTACTGTGTAAAAATTTCTATCACCCACAAGAAGAACTTGGTGTTGAAGATTGCACAACTCCAATTTTGATTGCACCAAGGTGCATATGTGCCCGGTATTTTTAGCCTTGTTACTTGCAGATAAAGTAGCTATCACTCATTTCAGAGGAAGTTCTTTTATCGGGTGGCATTTAAAGAAGTTGCATGGTTTCCTTCCAGGCCCTGGCAATGTCCAAAGCCTTACTGAGACAGCAGCACAAAGCCAAACTCCTGGCCACCAATCAGGCTGAATGTGACATGCTGAGAGAACGTTGGGAAGACAAGGAGTGTTTCAGAAAACTCAAGGCTTATGTGGACAGGGAGGGACTGGCCAGCTAAGCCTGCCCCCTGTGGAAGTCTCCCAACTTGTACAGACTTGACTAATGTATGATGTAATATTGTAAAAGTGACCACATTGGTGACTTTGTGTTGGACGTATGGTTTTGGTAACTGTAGTGCTACTGTGATGGAGTTGAGTGTGTAGTTGTGTACATGTACATCATAGATTGTACTACACTTATTATACCTCAGGCTTTACAGCCCCTCTCGCCATATACTAGTATATATAAGATAATCTTGATTTTTAAGTGTTTGCATTTGCCTTAAAGAATGCGTTTGCCTTTGGCTAAGGGTGTCTCTGAGCAATTGTCATGATAAAAGTTTGTCCACAAGAGAAACACATTTTGACAGACTTGTAATGCCAGTAGAAATGAAGCTTGCAGTATGGATCTACAAACATCTCATTGAAGGTTTTTGCATATAACACATGATGTACAAAGTTCTCATGCTTCTGTAGAGTGCTAGGATTAGCAACGCTTTAATTGTTGATAGGGATGTTGTAATCCTATTTATTCCAATGTTTAGAAAATTATTATTGACTATCTGCAGTTAGGTAAAATGCAGATTCTCATGGCCTGACCACTCTCTGATATTTGATAGCAAGAATGCTATAGCTGCAAATAAGATAATCCAAGCAAACGTAAAAATTTCTGCAATTCTGCATTTTTTTTCTTATGAATCATTTCTCTGAGTTACGTATATCTTTTATTAAAAAAATAAGAAATAGCGTTTTACATGCTTCCATGCTAAACTCAAGGTAGATAATAAAAAAATTATATTTTTTCTGGAAAAATCTGAGAACCAACGAATCAAATTGGTGTGGCATAAGATGGAAGATTGCTGGAACAGAGACTACACCAATGTACCGTCTATACACACAGGTTTTCTCAGATTATCATGAAAGTTCATCTGTGTTGGTAGTTATCATAGTAAAACGTTAAACTTTATTCCAACACACTATTTACAGGGATCAAATTTTCAGCGACCACTGTCGCCTTCATCAGGATAATTAATGACCAATCACTTCACAACGTGATCTCGCGAGAGTTACGGTTTACAAACACATGAACTTATTCACACGAAACACAGGTTTTCTTTCATGGTCTTGCAAGCTTGTTTCCTTATAAAGTGTAAGCAGCAGGTGTTAAAGTTCAAGAAGACAATTGTGCAAGATTGTGCATCAGGTGATTACTAGTAGATAGTTCATATATGTGAGTGGCTGGTAGAACGAATCAAGTAATTTGGATGATGCATTGGTTGGAAGGTTGGTGAACTCATGAATGTATCGTTACATCTATAATCTGGTATGCATTAACATGACAAACATGTACACGTCACCCTCAGTATAGTTATTTATTTTCTTTTCCTTTATGACGATTTATATAAATCTCTTGTAAAAAGTATATACCGGTACGGTTGATTCACGTGATGATGTAAATATACAAGCAAAATGGTCTTGGATTAGGTAAAATGTAACAAATGCTCTCAAACTTCCTCAGTACATCTCAATACTATTAACATCATGTAACAACCAGATATTAATTCTTGATTAGCTAACACAACGTCAGATTTGATACAAACATAGTCACCATTAGAAAATAATCTGACCAGAATAGCAAACATAAGGACTTCATGCTTTGGTATATACCAAGTTCCTTGTACTGTTACTATGTAAATTGCAATTCTATGAAGGGACCGGATTTTCAGACACATTGCTTCCATTCTGGATAATCCATGGAAAGCTACTTCAAAGCTAACAATCTAGAATTCAATGATAGTTATTATACTCATGTTGATTGTATACATTTTTGTTGTAAAGGAGCCAATTATTGTGATTACAGCTGTACTCTTCCATATGTTACCACTGTGTTTTCTTAAGTTGTTGTTGCCAAACAATTGTTTTTTTTAATGATTGTTGAACCAGAAGTGTACATTGTGTACAGATGTATTTTTTAGTATCTCAAGCGCTTTTTGCCAAAGCTGATAAAAATCCAGACAGACTGTTGGTTGGTACAACATTTGAATTGTGGTCCTCCAGCTAACCTTGTACAAATCTGGTAGTCCATGTTGTTGAGACAGATATTTTTGTAAAATTCTTCAACACTTAGATGCAGTTGTCTCCAATCGCCATGGTCTGTTGTAGTAGATTACAGGCAATAAACTGCAAAACTCATGATCGGTGTGCTTTCTTGTTTTGCTCACACTACAAATTTGTAGGGAATTTATTCAACATGCTATAGCCAAACTTGCTTGTGTAGTGAGCGTTCAAAGGACCTGGGTTTGGAGGGAAAATAATGCAGTCGACGCTTAAGAATGGCCCGGTGGTCCTTTTGTAGAGGTGGTCACTATTTGTGCAGGTTTGACTCTACCGTACATACATATCATTAGAAAGGCCACAAATAAAGCAAACTCATGTAAAACCCCTGTCACACATTTCACGAATTTGGTTTCCCGAACGCCCCAACCACTAATGGTTTGGAGTAGGTCGGCGCTAAGTCGGCTGGCGTTTGGCGAGGTCAGCAAATATTCCGCTGCATTAGCTAGAATACTAGTATTGGGGCAGCTAGAATAATGCACCAACAAATTGAACTACACAAGAAGCATCAAGCGTCACCTTGATTCAGCTGTATGCTCTTAATGTACAGTACCCGGTAACCTTCAGCGTACGGGTTATATTTACACGGAATCCCGGAATGGCTGGAGTCACTTCACGTCATCCGAGCGGTCACGACGGACTTTCTTCAGCAGCCAACAGAGCTGGTTTCCGTTATTCTTGCGCTGCAGAAATAAATACAAGTATATTGCTTACATTAGAATGTTAAGCTGCTTACCCTTTCTTAATACGAAATTGCAATGTGCCCAATTCTTTCCATGCCGTGGTAAACCTTAAAAGCGTATTTGAATTGCTTCCTAGAGCCCCATTGAGTTCGCATATAACTTACACAGTATAACTTACTCATACTTTTATTTTTAAGACTTTAACTGCCCTTGTAGTGGCCTATGGCTAGTTGCTATAACACTAATGCCAAATTGGATGGAATGTTTACGCTAACAGCTCCAATAGATGAAGGGTTATAAAAAAATGTTGCCATACCTTAATGTACGTTTTTACGGCCCGTCCAGCGAACTGCTCCTCGTAAACGTAGCGGGCGTCCTGCGTCACAGCTGAAAATATGGCGCTGTAGTCCGCCGGGCCGCGGTAGAAGGTCGGGTTAAAGGAACGCTTCTTATTCCCTGTTACAACCACGGTGACATGTCATTACAACGTCTAGATACAACCACAGTGACATCATTACAACGTCTAGATACAACCACAGTGACATCATTACAACGTCTAGATACAACCACAGTGACATCATTACAACGTCCAGATACAACCACAGTGACATCATTACAACGTCTAGATACAACCACAGTGACATCATTGCAACGTCTATGTACAACCACAGTGACATATCATATTACAACGTCTAGGTACAAGCACAGTGACATATCATATTACAACGTCTAGGTACAACCACAGCAACGTCACTATTACAACGTCTAGGTACGAGTACAACAACATAACGTCTAAAACCACAGTGACATATCATTACAGCGTCTAGTTACAACCAGTGGCCATTCACTATATCTGCTTAGATATTAGGATATCGCCTACCGGACTTCTGGAAGCAGGATTCTCGGAAGAAAAAGTAGCCACCATCAGTCAGCCAAGACAGAACTTTGGCGGCAAGTGTAGAGACCTCTTCGTCCGCCAGGTACATCATCAACCAGTTGGAGAACACTACGTCAACGCTAGGGGGACACATGAACAGACTTGGTGTAGGACTGGGTGTCAGTAATCTCCAAGCAGATCTCTTTTGGTGGCAAGACACTATCCATTGGTCGGTGGCTGATGGACACTCCTGGCCAATGGATACTGCCTTGCCACCGAAATATTCGTGGATAACCTTAGCTTTTGGCTTAGGTTGCCCGAAGGGTAACCTCTGAATAAGAAGTACTAGTATTTCGAACCCTGTATTAATAAAATCAATAGATTGAAGGATACGGTTTATCCAGTTACCTTTCCGGTGGCAGATCCAGACGTGTGACGTCAGCCTGCAGGAAGACTATATTACCCAGGTGTCTGTTCGTCTCCTCGTTTTTCTTGATGAAGGCTTCCATGAAGTCCACGGCCGTCACGTGATCGGCTTGTCCGGCAAGACTCGGAGTAAAACGACTTGGGGATAGAACAATGATGATTTTATTCTTGCAATTGATTGAGTTTGTCAAGAATCGATGGGGGAAAATTCTGCATTGTTACACTCTTTCACGCGAGAGATGGTTATGTTTTGTTTAGGGTCTTTGTGTGTCTTTCTGAACGAAGAAATTACTGTGTAAATGGGTCTTCATATGGATTTGTCCTTGGGTGGATCAAATCTCCAGATAGAGATCTCGATCCGGATCCGAAGCGGATGGACTGCGAATGTGTGTGTGTGTGTGTGTACATCATCCGGACCCCGGAGCTGAGGAAGTGGTTTTTAACAAAAGTAAGAACGAACTGATTGTATGCAGCCCTACCCAATGCCAGCCCCGAGCTCCAGGACACGTTTCCCGGAGAGGTCCGGCAGCATGGCGAGTATTTCCGGCCGCTCCTCCTGGTCAAGTTCGTCCGCGTTCTCGTCCAACATCATCTCTTGCAGGGAGCCGTCGTGCGACTGTTCCCGCCAAAACTCAGCCATCTCCACCCGCACGTCTGCATGGTCGACTGTGGGTAGAACAGACGTGTCAAACGTGAGACTGACCCAGAGAAACCTCTTGTGCAGGCCTCCGGGCGGGTGGGAGTTTTGTTACTGCGTTTTGTAGAATTTTTAATTGCCGGCCATCCTACAACCAGCCGCCGAGAGAAGGTTTGTACCGGCCAAGTAGAGCGTACACGTACATTTTACCAACTAATAGTAGTTGACGAAGATTTGACTTTGTTCGTAATTCTATCTGCGCTGTGTGTGAAACCATCATCACAAATAGCTAACTTCTCTTTGGGTATAACTTCAGTTGTATAGTTGTATATCCAAAACGTTGACAAAAACTCGGAACATCTAAATTACCCACCGACTTTGTCGCTACACTTGCAGTCGTCTTCCATTTTCACAAATCGAGTTCTCGCATACCCAGGTTGTACGGTGTACGACTTTTAAGAAAAATCACAGCATGGTGTGTTGTGTGAGTGAGTTAGTTACTGTAGCCACGTCGACACCGCAGGTTACTTGTGTAAACCGTGGTTCCGTGTCAATGTCTGTGAAACCTCTCAACGAGTGTGATTTAAATCTGTAGAGTACACTCCTTAATCTATCAATCAATATTGTCGTATCGATCGCTGCATGGGTTGCCAGGGAAACGTCTGAAGCCTCTTTGAGTTTTTCTAAGTTGAAATTGTTAAACGGGTTTCTCCAACGTAATAATGCTGTTGACCGTTTGTAGATGCCTTTATGACGTCACAAGAAATGGGGGTTGGGGTGGCAAGAATCGCGACAAGAGCAAAAGTAACCAGTGACACATTACATTATGGACTACACAACCTAGCCTGGTTACCAGACCTATTATAGCTCCCGAGTCCAGGAGAGGATGTAGGACTCAGGAGCTATAATAGGCCGGCCTGGTAACCAGGCTACACATGCCTGGTCCTATGGTCAAATATATAACTTATAAGATTCATTTACAACAAAATTTAAAGTGGAAGAACAGAGATGGCAGACTTCACACCTTACCCATACTGCTTTGTGACCATTTAGGAGAAGCGGCAAACTATTCTCTAAACGCAGAACAACTCCCCTGGCATATCATCTGTCTATTGATTAAACTTCTAGTCTTTCCCGAAGCCTGGTAGAGGCTATAGCAATGACCTACATTGGAATCTATCCGGTTTGAAGTATTATCAAAAGCTTTCATGCTTCGGCGGCCATGTAAGGGGATTCAGTACTTGAGGATTCAAGTACCGTATATAAGGTCATATGATAGCTATGGGCACATTGGCGCTGGATCAGTCGAGGAGTCACCTTTGTTCACACTGCGGCTGTCTGACAGGAAGCGGAACTTACACACACACACACACACACACGCACACACACACACACACACACACACACACACACACACACACACACACACACACACCACACACACCTAAAACATACACACACCTAAAACATACACACACCTAAAACATACACACACGTACACCTAAAGCATACACACACCTAAAACAATACCTCTATGGGGCCCTATATATATGTGGCCCTTCATGGAGGTTAAAAACTGCCTTGCCTTGGATTTCTCCCTCATCAGGACCACAAAGCCTGTTTCTCTCTGTCACTGAGAGCTGACCACCGAGGTCGTCAACACACCAGGTCCACTGCAGCGGTCTGCCGTAGAACTGCAGCATACGGTCCGCATACACGTAACTGTAGTCCTGCCCGTTCACGCATTCAAGTGTATAACCCAGCACGTACAACGCCACAAATGGCAGGAAAATACTCAATTTTCCCGACATAGTTGGTCCCTGTAGTTTTAATTCCGTGTTGCCTGAGGTCCTACATAGAGCGCGGGTCTATGGTCAGGGTTCACATTACAAACTTGCTGACGTGTCACTCCCAGGTACAAGGGGTGACGTGTCACTCGCATGTGCACTGCTCTGCAAAAATTTAAAAGGGCGGTTTCAAAGGTTCAAGTTTAAGTTCACCGTGATCGGTTTGTGTAATATCGATGCAAAATGATATCAGATGCTGAATGGCTGAAAATCGCACACGTACACTTGTCTGGCGGCGGTACTTTTGTATACTAGTATCAGGTCCAGGTTAAGGTCCGGACCTGGACCTGATTCTCTAAACCTATATATATAAATCCGGACCTCTTCTTCGCGACCACCTTCAACATTTTTGAATATTCTGTCGCCTGTACCTGAATTTTCTATACAGGTACCCCTTTCTGGACTTTGGAAAAGGTTTGCAGACGAAGATATTGGAATGGTCTCAGAGGCTAGCAGACGACACTTCGAGGTGATTTGGCGCGCAAAATTCTCTCTCCCGATCTCTCGCGTGTGCTCGCGAGAACTCTTGAACCCAGAGCACTTACCCAGAGTACGTTGGGAGCGAGATTGAGGAGGCCAAGATGGCGGCGCCCTTGTGGTTTGGGAGTCGGTGTGCTCCTGTCCTCGGTACCTTCGTTTCTTCCTCCCGACACAGTCAAGCTTGTCTGGAACAGTGCGGGAGACGGTTTTTCAGCAGAAAACAACGTCCCAAAGCTATAGTGGGTGAGTGTTTTACCGTGCATTGCTGGGATTCGCTGGCTTGCACTGTGGCATGACGGCCCGCCGCGGACTGTTCATCGGCGTCATATCTGCCGAGAAAATTATGAAAAGAATTTTCTGTCAACATATAGGCTGCTAAGGCACACGGCTTTGTTAGCGTGTAAAGTAATATTCAGAAGTAGGATATTTGCGCATATCTCCTGTATAAAACATAGCACCGGTCTGAACTGGTAAGAAAACAAAAAGTTTATCAAAATCCTGTACACTGATACTAGTAATTTGCAGGAGAAAATTTCTGTTAGCAAAATTATGACAATCTTACTAACATATTTAACGTTACAGGGGTATTTTTGTACCGAAAATTGACATTTTTGATAAGAAATATCTTCATGTGTCCTATTTCCCATTTCAGGCATTAAGGCCAGTGCACTCATTTTGTGCCACCACCACAAAATTATACAAAAATGTAAATATACATGACTGACACTGTGTTTCCAGCTTGTATGGTGTAACATTTCGGCACCTCCACTTCCTGAAATTATGGCACTTATTTGCAATGGAGTGGGGTTGATTCAACTTACTTCGTAAACAATTGACCAGAAAATTTGACTTTCGGATCATCCTAATGTTACATAATGCAGCTTTAACATTTGTTTTTCGACAGCTCCTGTCGGTGCACTTAAGGCAAATGTCCAGTACCCCGAGCCCATCCAAGAGGGGGAGATTAAATACCAGGAAGAGTACCCGTGGCACGAGAAAACCTCGCCGATCTCCCAGCAGCTGTACCACTCGGAGGAACCCCCGCCCTCTCACGGTGTGGATATCGGACTGCCTGTACCGAGGTTTCCAGGGGCGAAGAAGTTCCGACAGCTGAAGAGGAAGCTGACCAATGAGAACAGAGCCAGCTCGGAGCTGGAGAGAGCGGCACGGCTTCGGACGTGTAAGTTTGCCACATGCTCTGAAGTCTCAAACGTTGTTTAATGCATTTTCAGAAGCAACTTTTTCTTCAGTAAACCAGGTGTGGCCGGGTAAAATATTTGTCCACAAGCAAACAGATGGACAGGTCCTGGAGACAGTCCTGATGCATGGATACACTTTATTTGTTTATTGCCGAAATATAAAATAAGCAACTACGGACTGAAACCGGAAACGCAACATTAATTTTCCTAGGCCTAGTATTAGTAGTACATTTGTAATACTATGTAATACTTTACAACAGGATGAAATTCACCTTCACAGGGAACATGAAGAGAGTTCTGGGATGAATTGAGAAGGAGTAAGCTTTGGTAATAATACATGTACTTCTGCAAATTAAATGTATTTGGAAAATATTGTTTTTGTTTCCCACAGTGAAAGTGCCCCTGGATCAAGTGAAAGAAGACTGGCAGGCTTCATTTGGACACGAACAGTTAAAGGACGTAGCTACGCATTACAATATCTGGAAAGACTTGTTTGAAGGAGCACATTTTCACCCTGTTGTGGTAACCAACGTGTACTACGACTGCGATGACGATCACGCGATCCCTGTGTACCGTGGTAATGTGGTCACTCCTACAGAGGTATGGTAACGCTTCTGCAGGGCTTGAAATCCTTTTTTTTTCTGTATACCTGCAGTGGTGCCGGTAACACTGAAAATTAAGAGAAAAATATATATTAAAGAAGTAAATAGTAAAAAGATTTTAGTTGATTGTTGACCAAACTCATGAGTCATGCATGTATATAGTTCTCTATTGATTATCTACAAGTATGCAGTGTAAATGTTTGTATTTGTGTTAATTTTTTTTCTTGCATTGAGATTTTGTGACATATTTCACAGGCCTCAAGACCTCCAGTTGTACAATATGAAAGTGATGAGAATTCTCTGTGGACACTTATCTTAACAAATCCAGGTACCGTAACATTGGAACTACTTTTGTTACATTATCATTTTATAACTTTCTACCTCTTCATTATTTTACCATAACTTCTACCATTTCTTTAATACGGTATAGAGATATGTTGGACTAGCCAAATGAAAAACTACTTTCTTTGTTTCAGATGGGCATCTGAGAGATAATGAAGCAGAGTATCTCCACTGGTTTGTGTAAGTAAAATTAACTTTATTCAATGAATGTTGCCCTATGTAAAATAAAATGACACCATACTTGCTTCACAGCTTCATTTCTCTCCCATCTCATTTAGAGGTAACATCCCAGGAAGTGACATCAGTAAAGGGGAGACGGTGTGTGAATACTTCCCTCCCTTCCCTCCACAAGGCACAGGGTACCACAGATTTGTGTTCATCCTCTTCAAACAAGAAGGGCCACTGGATTACAGCATGGAGAGGAGACCAGCACCATGGTAGGTGTTGCCAAAAATTAATGTTAGAGTCATGAATTTCACAAGACCAGTCTGATTACCTACATGACCCATCTCTTAAAAACAAGCAGTGCCAGTAATAGCAAAACCTACGCATAGCCAACTTTTTTTTCATCCACTTCTCACTAATGCTGGAGTCACAATTTAAAGCCAGGGCCTGTCCAGGCTGTTTGAATGAACAGGAAGTTCTAGTAAAAAAATGCATATCAAGAACATGCACAAATCATGCTTGTGATTATCTTTTAAACGTTTTGTGTGTTTCGTTGTGTTTTATATTATATTTTTCATTTTTGCAGACAGCCTGGTCGGGCCCCGACTTGGAAAAATAAAACCTTTCCTACACATAAACATTACAAAATGTTTTAATGTCAAAATGTTTTTGATGATTCCTTTTCCAGTCATAGCTTAAGAAGAAGAACGTTCCATACGTTTGAGTTTTACCGGGATCGTCAGGACCAGCTGACTCCGGCTGGGCTCAACTTCTTCCAGTGCCAGTGGGACCAGTCTGTCAGGGACACCTTCCGCAGTGTACTCAGTAAGTTTACTTTTAGTCAGCTGCTCTAAGGTTTGATCCACTCGCACCGGGAAGAACCTTTTTTTAGAAGTTAGGCCTTGTTGATTTGATTATACGGATGACATCCTCTGGGAACCCCATAACTGATGCAAGGGTGTGACTAAAAAGTTTGGCCACAAAAAAGTTGCCTTCATTATTAAATCTACATGATCATGAAGGTTGAACAAATGACTATCCACCCAAAGTATGGTATGGTATGGTATGGACTCTTCATTTCCGTTTCTTCACATTCCTTTGGAATTGATTTTGGCATTCAACAACATTTTTTTGCAATTAACAGCATATATTTTGCAGCTGCTTTGTACGATTTACAGTATGGTCGATATTTTTTTGAAACAAACAAAAATTCATGCTGATGGCGAATGTCATCCATATAATCAAATCAATATGCTTGAGATGTGGCTCTCCCAAAACAAGGGAGCCTGAGCCTTATTCTGTAAATGCAGAAATGTGGTAGCAATGTATATGTAGTCTTTTTAATGTTATGTTTTTGATTTTTTCTTGCCATCCAGATATGCCGGAGCCCATCTTTGAGTACGACTTCCCGAAGCCATTCATTGCACCACAGCTGATGATTCCCCACAGAAAACCCATCCAGTACCTGGACAAATACCTACCGAAAGAGCCTGTACTGAAAAGGTTCTGATCTGCCCGAAAATAATTTCATCTTTTTGGTAAAACACATCCAATAGTAACTCTCGCCTGCTTGTGCCGCAAAAGTGGCACCTACATCGGCATATGTACATGTGGCAGCGAGAAGCTTTACTCCAGTCAGAAGCTCTGATCAAGGAAGTGTGTGTCTGATAAATATAGAAACATTAGCAGATGAGAGTTATTACCTGTTGTGTAAAAGCACAAGAAAACCCCAATATCCTACATTCTGATTCTCAGAGCTGATGATGTAATCAACTGTAGGATTAGTGTGGAGTTTGAAAAGGGACTGGAAGCTTTTGAGACTTTCAGAAAAGTACTAGTATTCCCTATATTGAATAGGACAAAATTGAGCTTTTTTCTACGACACTTCTATTTGTGCATTTTGACATTTCGGCCCGTCCATCCCAACAATTTGTAATGTTGTGCATGATGTAACGACTAGTATACAATTGAATACATGTACCAAAAGCAAAATAAAGACACATGTACAGTATGTCTGTCTCAGGACTGAGATATTGACACGTCTTGACTTGTTTATTTCTTACATAATAATCTAACATTTACATACACAATTAAACTTAATGATTCTCTTTGGGTCTTCCTTGGGTACCAAAATTTACATCAGGATATTACATCATAACTGGCTTATATATATATCTGAAATCAATAAAAGCAGTCTTATACCCCATGCATACGTATAGATATAGATATATGGTTTGTTCTGGGTTTGAAAGGTAAGTAATCAGAACACTTACGATTATTGAAATGTCAAAATACACAATGTAAATCTTACACTTCAGCCTACTTTTTCATCTCTGGCCTAAAAAAGGAAGAAATATTATTTTTGCATTTTGTAAAGTAAAAAGTAAGGAATGGTATAGGAGCTTGTAGTAGTAGCACTGTTTACACTAGAAAATACACATTTAACCATCTAATACATATTGCACCTTTACACCTTTAGTGGTTTACAATTATACTAACTATTACTTACATCAAACACAATATAAGTTATATACTATATGAGAACTCACAACATGGATATGTACATCGTATTACTACCTAACTATGTACATTTTTAATGCCAATTTGCCATGCTTGAATACAGTACTTAAATATGCAGTTTTTGTCTTTGGTTGATCAAGATGGCAGTTTTGATTTCCTTGTTTCCACTTTGAAATATAGGGAAAGATACTATGAAATTTTCATCACAGTCCTTCTTAGTTTGGCACCAAATTTGTTTTGATCCAGTAAACATTACCCTAGTGGGAACGCTCCCAATCCGACTTGGTTTGGCTTGATGCTGTGCAGAGCCGGATCAAACTGGATTGAGTTCCTACTGGGGTAAAGTTTACTGGATCAAAGTCGGTTGCCAATATATTCAGCGCCATCTGGTCAATTTTATCCTAGAGGGAAAAGGGCCAAAGGTTTTAGCAGTCTGACCTATAATACTATAATAGTCAGAACAAATTTGATGCCGAAAGGCTAAGAAAGAAGAGGTTTTAAAAAATGTCCAATGTACATGTCACTTTCACTCATTGGATCATAGATTCTTTTCACTTATTAATCTCTGAACTTTTCCTTGTTAAAATTGAATATCTTTGATAACAAATTTGTCTAATTTGTTTTGGGAATCACCAAGTATTGTACCAACACCTACCACCAAATTGAATACTGCATGGTCAAAACAATAACGTCTTATAGTTTACATAAATGTTACTGCAACTTGTAAATATTGTCCTGTCTTAGAAGGACTTTCTATAGAAGTCATAGTAATCCAAGTACTAAAATCTCAAACATAACACATTTCTGGATCTATAGAAAGAAAAAAAAAACAATATATACAATCCTCTACCAAACACTTGTGCCACACATTCAAAATGTATCAAATGGCAAACAGCTCTTCTAAAGACCCTTGGCAAGCATCTGCCTGTTTTGTATCACCTGGCTACCAATTACTGATCTGGTAATTTCCATTTCTTGTTAGTGCAACCTTGGAGACTATTTCCTTGCAGTTGTGATTTGAACCAACAGGGGGAGCTTTAAAGTCATAGTTATGTCATTAAATCATTTTTGTTGACGCCTTCTAAGAGACCCTATGTATTAAAAGATTGAGGAATCCTTTGTGACAACTTAGAAACATATTAATCTATACATAAATACCCATTATCAACATACATGTAGCTTAACACTCAAATACTTCACTATTTAGAATTCTAACATATTGTACAGCACTTTCATCCCATTTTTGGATGAAGAATATATAAACTTCATTCCCCTTACTACAGTTTTAGTTATACCTCAACATTGAATAACTTGTAAGTAGGTTTCCAGAATCCTTTCCTGGCAAAATTATTAAAACGCACTACAAACATACACATAAAAGCATCAGTTTGATTTTTGGCTCTAGTCACTGTGTTTATCTCAATGAAGAAGTGTGATGTAGCCAGGTAGGGGCCTGATAGGTGGAAGGGCTGCTAGAAACGTGATGTAGCCAGGCTAGGGACCTGACCAGTGGAAGGGCTGCTAGAAGCGTGATGTAGCCAGGCTAGAGGCCTGACCAGTGGAAGGGCTGATAGAAGTGTGATGTAGTGAGGCTAGGGGCCTGATCAGTGGAAGGGCTGCTAGAAGCATGATGTAGCCAGGCTGGGGGCCTGACCAGTGGAAGGCTGCTAGAAGCGTGATGTAGTCAGGCTAGAGGCATTACCAGTGGAAAGGCTGCTAGAAGCGTGATGTAGTCAGGCTAGAGGCCTGACCAGTGGAAGGACTGCTAGAAGCGTGATGTAGTCAGGCTAGAGGCCTGACCAGTGGAAGGGCTGCTAGAAGTGTGATGTAGCCAGGCTAAAGGCCTGACCAGTGGAAAGGCTGCTAGATCATAGAAGTATGATGTTGCCAGGCTAGGGGCCTGACCAGTGGAAGGGCTGCTAGAAGTGTGTAGTCAGGCTAGAGGCCTGACCAGTGGAAGGGCTGCTAGAAGTGTGATGTAGTCAGGCTAGAGGCATTACCAGTGGAAAGGCTGTTAGAAGTGTGATGTAGCCAGGCTAGGGTCCTGACCAAAGGAAGGACTGCTACATGTATAGAAGCCTGATGTAGTCAGGCTAGGGGCCTGACCAGCGGAAGGGCTGTTAGAAGTGTGATGTAGTCAGACTAGAGGCCTGACCAGGGGAAGGGCACAGCAGCCACACTAGAAGCGTGATGCTAGCCAGGCTAGAGGCCTGACCAGTGGAAGGGCTGCTAGAAGTGTGATGTAGTCAGACTAGGGGCCTGACCAGTGGAAGGGCTGCTAGAAGCGCAATATACATGTAGTCAGGCTAAAACCAGGACCAGTGAAGGGGCTGCTAGAATTCGAAGCATGATATAGTCAGGCTAGTGGCCTGACCAGTGGAAGGGCGGCTAGAAGCATGATGTAGCCAGGCTAGGGGCTTGAACAGTGGAAAGAATGCTACACTACAAGCGTGATGCTAGTCAGACTACTTAGACTCCACAGCATGGATTATCGATGACGAGCATCACGTCGATTCCGTGCAGCTCCACCAGATCCATGACGAACTGGCGGTCGCGGATGGGGTCCAGCCCCATACTGCGCATGTGGTCCATGGTCAGCGTACGGTCCGACGTTGACGCAACGTCCAACAGGGTCTGGAAAATTCTGTTGTTCTGCTCGGTGAAGAACCTAAAATAACAAGAAGGAAAGGTTGTAAGTGGCTCAATATTGGAGGTTTTTAGAATTTAGAGTGGAAAAACTCTTTAGCAAGAATGCCTTTTCTCATTGGTTGGAGTGATTGGTTGATGGTCACTGTCAATCTTCATTACCGGTAATAGGCAACCAATCACAGGTCTAGGTTATTAACAACAGCTGAAGGAGAACCATGCATAGTCTTTATTGTAGAGGTATCAGAAAGCAAATTGAGAGCATAGAAAGCATAGAAGCTTGAGAAAGGTATAGAAAGGCCCATGAAGTCTTTCTTGTATTGAAAAAGGGACCTTTCTTGTCTTGAAGAGTCCTTTTCTCTTGAAGAAAGGAGTCTTCTTGCTTTTAAAAAAAGGAGCCCTTTTGCTTTGCTAGAAAGGCCATTCATTGCCTTGAAGAAGGTACCTTTCTTGTCTTGAAGAAAGGACCTTTCTCGTCTTGAAGAAGGGACCTTTATTGCCTTGAAGAAGGGACCTTAAATTGCCTTGAAGAAGGGACCTTTCTTGTCTTCAAGAAAGGACCTTTCTTGTCTTGAAGACTTACGTGATGAAGACCTGCTCATCGTCTGCCACCTCATCATCCTCAATGTCCCTGCTGTACAGTTCCTCCGACCTAAGACAGGGGGAGCTGCTGGTTAGTGTCACCTACTTACTATTGGCATGATTAAGATCATAGCATCTAGTCACTGGTACCTGATCCTGTGCTATCAAAATGTCCGCCTTATCTGACCATGATGTAACTCTATGGTATGGGTATCATTACAATTATTACTCCAGATCAACTTAACAAAACGTTGGTGTGCTCTTTCTGATAGTAGTAATAATATATATGTGACTTTGAATTCACTCTTGTTTTGCAAGAAACTGCATAATCTTCTCAATTTTCACAAAGAGATACATGTTTTGTTTCTTGCCTAGAAAGTGCAAGGATGGCTACAAAGATGTGCAAACAGATATTTTGTTGAGGACAAATGATACAAGTTAAAGTTAGAATGATTCATGCTGCTACTGGGGACATTTATTCGGTACATGTATGTGTACATGTACACATGTAATTGCAAACATGCACCCAACAACCACACTCAACCACTTGGCTTTAGCATGCTTGTGGCACCCTACAAGCTACAAACTACATTTCTGTCCCAACATTCAGGGCACTACCAACAAAGGCTATACATATATGCAAACTAGATATGAAAATTTATAAGTAAACAACAATCCCCCAAAGTTCTACACTGTTTTTGATGACAGCACAGTTGTCCCTCTTTTTTTGGGAACAACATTTTTCCTTATAACATTGATACTAAAATTGTGTAAACCTCATGACTTTGCTTGGCTACTTTGTTGGTGCTTATCCCCTTAAGTATTGGGACAGAAACAAGGCTCTTAAGGCTTACACAGTCCTGGGCAAGGTGGCGTATACCTCCTCACTTGATTGCAGAAGGAAACCAGATTAAAGAAGCGTTAAGCTAACCTAAGAAATGCAATCGTACAGTCACACAAACTACTTTGCAAGACAAACTTTTATGACATTTCTGCACTCCATATAACACATAACCTCACGACTCTACATGGCCATGCTACTTACTGAGAACTGTGTAGCTTTATTATATGCAGTGTAAAATTATAATTAAAATCATAATCAAAAATATACACCTTTCACTCTTAACAGTACAAATCATTATAGACATTTAGTAATGTTTATAGGCCATATCTTATGATTTTCTGACAACATCTACTCAGTAAATTGGTTCTGAATTATAGAATTTTCTTCATTCCTGCTCTCTGGTACAAATTTTACATGCACCACTTGTGAAGTATGGATCACAATGAAAACTGTTTAGAAACCATTGCCATAAAAATTTGTAAAAGATCTAACAGAAACAAAAAGCCTAATTCTAAAAAGGTGATATCAGTCAATAATACACCATCAAAAAGACCCTCATTTATATAAACCCAGTACCAGGTGCAGGTTAGGTGCAGGAATGGACAGAAAAAAAAAGGACCTAGTGACAACCCTTATCCAACATAAGGCCACAGCAAGTAAATTTTATGGATGACATCCTCCGCAGACTCCAAATCTAATGCGAGAGGGCGAAAACAAAACAAGGCGGGCCGAAAAAAACAAGGTTCCTACATTTTAAAATTTTGACTCAATCATTGTACAAATGGTTTTTATTCAGTGGGAACATCACATATACACAGCCAGCATCACATATCACTGCATCAAAGTAAGAAACAAAACATTAAATCAGAGCCTTTTCTTGTCTCTCTTCATAGTTATCTGCCATCCACGTTCCGGCATGGCAGCAGACATCTTTGCCCATTTTCGGCATGTTGACCACTGTCAGAAGGCAACAAAACTTCTTGTTTTTTTTCCCAAAATCAGGCGAAAATTAATGCGCGCGCTGATGTCATACATAAAAATTACTTGCTGTGGCCTAATAAGCTACTCAGAGATGAGCCAAGAAGACATGAACGCTAAGAGCTCACCTCTGGTTCAGAAGCTTGCTGTATTTGTCCCTGTCGCTGTCGTTAAGTCTGAGCATGTCCTGTAGACTGGGGATGTGGGTCTCCACGTTCTGGTTATCCACATACACGTCGTACAGATGGCTCTTCTCCTGGAATATCTTTTCTGTCGTACCTGCAACATGGGAAATATTCAGTTATCCTGGGGTTCAAGACATTGTTTTTTCTGTTGGACTGAACTAACAAAAAAAACATATTCATATTCTGTGACATTTACACATTTGTTCTTTGTATGTAATACATTTGTACATAGGCAAAATTTATGTTGCTTTCTTGGTGTTTTACATAGATTGTAATGTTATGTTTGCCAATGGGCAATTCTGTATAGCATTTACTATGCCTGGTAATTTAAAGAATTTTCTTGTCAAAACGATTATATTACAATCATGACTGTATATGTGTATGTATTACTAAATTCCGTTTGTCTACTTACATCACTATATCAACAACCAGTTTCTAATTCCAAATCACTTCAAGGCATCTGTCTTTCCATCTTTTGATACAATTTTGCTGTTCATAATGGACAAAAATTTTGCCCAATCCATCATCTTTGACAGACAAAAATTGGAGTGTTGGGATATGAAATCAATGGGCAATTCTGTGAAGAATTCTGAAAAGAGATACCATTAAAATAAGCTTACGTAATCTACCAGCAAAATTTGCCGCTGAAAATGCAGGAAATAGCATTTCAGAGGATTTCTAAATTTTCCCAGGGGAGCTTGCCCCCAGACACTACTAGGATTGCTGCACCTTAGGCAGTGGACATGATGTTGGATCAAACAAATCTGATGTGATGAAAAAAATTGCAGGATGACTTGAACACTGCTTGACAGTGAATGCTACTGACAGTTACTACTTCTGACCAGCGATGGATTCCCAGAATTCAAATTCAATTTCCATGGAAATGAAGGCACCAGGTTGAACGTCACAGAGATCAGAACCAGACAGACTGTCTGAAACACCAAGCATCAAAGTCTGTCGAGAGGAATGTTGCTGTCCTGATAAGAGCTTTTCAATTACTCTGAACAGTGCGTGGGCTGCTCCTGTGCTCAACATCAACTCCAACGTTCTGATACCTTCCCTCTCGAGGCCTACCCCACTTAATACACTTAACTGTTAGTGTAAGGAATACAAGATGGATAAAGAGATGTTCTTTCTTTGATTTTTTTTTGGTAATATTTCTGAAGCCAATTAGACTCATACCTGTCTGATACACTAAATTCATTCAATGTCACAAATAGCATTGACATTGCCTTACCTGCATGTAATTAACAATGTTTTCATTTCAAAATGTTACCTACAAGTTCTAAAGAGAACACATTATCCTGAGTACCATACTTAGAGTGTGTTTGCATCTGAGGCCATGTTGATTTGATTATATGGATGGTATCCTCTGGGAACCCAAGAACTGATGCGAGTGTGCGAATAAAAAAAATTGCCGAAAAAGTTGCCTTCATTATGAATCTAAGTGGCATGAAGGTTAAACAAATGGCTAAACCCACTCATTTCTTCACATTTTCTTCTTTTTCTTTTGGAATTCTATGACATTAGTATCTTTTTCCAATATTTTCTTTGCAATGTACGGCATATATTTGCTCATTTTACAGCACTTTGTATGATTTACAGTATAGTCACAAACTTTTTTTGGAAACAGATTCATGCACACGTGGATGTCATCCACATAATCAAATCAACATGGCCCGTGGCCGTGATACATGATAGAGTAGATTCTGGAGCAGTGATACTTACATGCTAAGTACGACACTTCTGTCTCAAGTCTGTCTATATCTGCGATGTTGACGTAGAAGTGAGGCTTCAGGGGTTTCTCAGGGATCTCAGGAATGGTGTGTCTGGCTAAACAACAGGCACAGTACACTACAGGAACAGGATGGAAATAACGTGTGAGATTAGGGTTGTCTCCACGTGACCTAAGGAATGGTGTGTCTGGCTAAAAAACAGGCACAGTACACTACAGGAACAGGATGGAAATAACACACGTGAGATTGGGGTTGTGTCCACGTGACATGTTTTAGAGTCTATCCTCTTAAACACCTGGTACCACTATTGCCTGTATATTTTCTATCTATGTGTATCTTACAAAGCTATCACAGTGATTGTACTGAGTAATGTCTGCAGCTGTCACTGTCCTTGGTACTGAAAATTCTACTGTCATAATACAGATGTCATACAGACATACAGGTATCATTTCTGATCCATAAAGAGATACAGACATCATATCTGATACATTAAGACATACAGACTCACAAAGACATACAGATACATGTATCATATCTGATTTTTTTTTTAACCAAATTTAACGTCATTTTTCCCCAACTGGGGGTTAGACGTGCTTGCACCAAGTACAAGTCTTTTACGGCTGGATGCTCTTCCTAACGCCAACCCAAACCCTAGTAGGGCCCAGGATCCCTCTAAACTGAGGGGGGAAATGCGTGTTAAGTGCCTGATACATAAACTTATACAGGTGTATACAGATATCTGATATATCAACTTTGAGGCATACAGATATCCGATATAAAGGCATTTGGATATCTGATACATATAAAGTATACAGATATAATATCTCTCGACTCTTGCATACCTCTGTAACACACCACACCGATGGGAGGAGGAGAGAAGAAGAGGATCCTTCTCCTGAGTAGAGCGTACTTCCACAGGACAAATATCTGCTCACCGAAGAACTTCAGGAACTGGGAGAAGCAGCCAGCAGGATGGGTTATCTGAGGAAAAAAAATAATCAAAATCAGACTTTACAGAACTACAGTTGTACACAGTAATACGAACCAAGTTCAGAGCAGTATTCTACCCAGCCTGAAATTTTGTTCCTGCCATCCCAATTTTGTAAGACATTTTGTATTACATGTCGAGGCCCAAAGTGCAACTAGGCAGGGCATGCTCCCCTGGGAAATTTTGAAACCTTGATTCCTGAAATGCTCTTTCCTGCAGTTTGAGGCGTAAATTTTGTTGGCAGATTAATCTTAATTCTATGATGTCTTTTTTCCCCACATCTTTGCACACCGATTTTTGTCCATCAAAGATGTCGGATTGGCCAAAATTTTTGTTCATCAGAAGCATCAAATGACAGAAAGACGGACCTTAGCTAGAACACATGTTCACATTGGCGGTTTAATCGGTGGTTATAGGAAATGACCAGGACCTTATGACACCATATACACCTCTGGGCGGGTCATTAACCAGTAATTATAAACTAACGATGTGTGTGTGCTCTACTGACCCTCATGTCAGCACGGGGGATCTCTGTCATCGGTGACACCAGACTGCGACCAGGGTGGCTCATGGGAAGGGAGCCTTTCCGGTCTTCCCAGAAGGCTTTGAGCTGGTCGTACCTTCCCGGCGTCTCCAGTTGATGTCTGTCATTCAGGAAAAAGAGTGAAAGAAAAATGGAATGATCAAAAAGTTTCAGATACAATCATTATGATAGTTTGACAAGAGTATAAATTGTGCCATGTCACCAATCTTGTGCCCTCGGGAAAGGCACTTAACACATGATGATCCCATCTTACAACAACATATAACAACATAGTTTGAGTTGACTTTTGTTCCAACACATGAGAATTGTTCTCACCTTAGAGCTTTTGACCAGTCACTCTGGTCTTCTTCAGTAGACTGACCCAGTGTGACTTGTCACATGGCTTCTCTTGACGTCAACATTGGGTCCAAAGCTCTAGTTGAGAACAATCTCTTGTGTTGGAATGAAAGTTTTAACTTAAACCATGTAACTACCAACAAAGATGAACGCGCATGAACATACAACATACAACAGCGCCCGCTACCTGACTTGATTCTCCAGGAACTGCATGTGTCTGTAGAGGGAGGTGTAAGAGGTGGCCAGGATGCCCACAGACTTCATCCTCGCTCCACGTTCCAGTTCACTCTCCACCGGCATGTTCTCAAAACAACTCAGACCATACAGGTTGTCCTTCTTGAAGTAGCTGTGAAAATTATCATGCGGCTATTATTGATATCCACAACAATTATCAAAGGAAAATGAAACTGTGTAAAATAGAAGAGAAGCGGACCCTGAGAAAAGAACTTTGCAACAGACATGAGTCTTACAACTGTCAGTGTCACTAAACAAAATTACCTTCAATTCAAGGACAACGTAATACAATTGAAAATTTAATGTAACAATTGACTTTTCTTTAAAAGTTCCTTTTTGTAACATTAGTACTGTCAGTCATGTTTGTTTACATTATGGTAGTTTGTGGTGGCACCTCAAACTAAGTGTGCCTCATGTAGGCTCTTTTAGCACCAAATTGCACAAATATGTTGAAAAGTGGCGTAAATTACAATCACACAAAGATTTTTTTTCAATTACTCAAATACTTCAATGTTTAAAACTCCTTAGTTGAAAGTAGTTGAATGTTTACTAACATGAAGTCCTTAAGTATGGTGTGAGATCCGCTGGCCATGGCCTTAAACTCCACTCCCTCCAGGTCACTGTCTTCTGGCTTACACCATTCTATGATATTACCTGCAGGACAAAAGCAATCAGAGTCAATGCCACATACATATAGTAGTATGTACGTATTGTGGTGTAAAATGGCCAAGTGGCTAGGTGACTCGAGATCAAGAGGTCACTGGTTCGATTCCTACAATGTACAGTAATGTATTGCTGGTTAGACAATGTGTTCTTGGGAAAGAAGGCATTTTACATGACTGGTATTGCCTTGAGTTAGCAGTATAAAAGAAGAAGACCAACAAAATCACCATCCTACTTTCAGTACCATGGACAGCCCAACCCTGTAGTAATGATACTCCACACATATATACAGTCTATACTAATATTCAATGATTATATGCTTTGAAGAGATCACAGCATAATGGTTTATTTCAAATGATGACTGCCATGAAAAGCAAAGGTACTGTGATGTACATGTAACAAATAGAAAAACTCTGAACTACATTTGTACCTGGTCAATAATGCCATGACGTAATATAGGAAACAAAACACGAATACCCATAAATTTCACGATCAGAACCCTAAATAAAGCCCCACCAAACAAACAGGATCTCCTGGTTTCACCACTCATTCATCATAATAACAGTTTGGCAGCCATAAGAGTACCACAAGTAGTAAGAACCAGCTTTATCTGATAACGTGTCAATTACACTCAAACTTGTCTAAGGTAACCATCCAGGGGACCAAGGAAAAGTGGTACTCTTATGAAGAGGACAAAGAACAAGAAAAATGCAGCAAAATTTCCACCCACATAACAATATACTGCCACACGGACCCAAAGTGACCCACAGCTGGTGCCATTTTACATTGCACAAAGGCTGTCATAGCCTGAAATCTAGCCTTGTTAGCTATACATGTACATGTACATGTAGGTCCGCTCCAAAACGTTTGCTCCCTGCTGTCAAATTCAAATGCATACTGGACAATTCCATCAAGATTTCTTACTGGGTATCATCCAAAAATTTCAGGAACAATGTCAGTTGTATTTTAGTGACATATTGTCTTTGAAGTCCTATAATCCCACATCACATTACGATATATATGTTTCTGCCCAAATCCATTCACAGCCACATATATGATACTACAGCAGGGAGTTAGTCCACTGGTAGTGGCGTACGCGCGTGTGGTCAAACCCAGAACTGAATGAAAAACAGAGAATTTGTAGTCACTTCACGTGTACACAATGTACTGCACATGTACATAACTCCTGATGCATTCCTCTCAAATAAACTGCAGAATGCAATGAGACCTGGCAGTCCAATGTGCCAGTTCCATTACCAAATGTTGTTACACTCACTTCTACTCCCATCACACTAAAATTGGAAAGAGAGTGACCATTCGTTTTATGTATTCTAGGAGTTCCAGGTTATCCTGTGTGCATGTGAAAGCTACCTGCATACTCTAGTATATGGAGGATAGTGCACTACCAGGTAAAATTGATTATCTGTCAAGGTACAATGTATTCTTATTGTCTACATTCAACTAACTTGCACTACCCCAAAATTTAATCTTAGGGGCAACATTTTCAAAACATTACTTTTTGGTGGGCTAAACCTGTCACCACTGTGAACATACAGACATAATAGTTTTGTGGAAATCTCCATTTTTCTTCGACTATGATAGTATGAAATTTTGTTACTGTGAACATGAAGTGAACTGCAATATTACCTTTTCAAACAACAGTGACACAAGTATATGCATGTATATGCTGATTAGGCCACAGCCTAACCAGTGGAATTACACACTAACATGCATATATCCTGTATGTTCTTTTGTTATACCTATATGATACATATGCATTCTTTTGTTACAGTGCTATCAACAACAAAGGTACCAGATCCTGTTCCATTCATCATTTTCACTAACCATGGTCTACAACAGTGTTCTAGCCAGCTTCCATCTTTCCATCATTTTGACGGAATTTTGCTGCTCATGATGGACAAAAATTTTGCCCAATCTGTCATCTTTCATGGACAAAAATCAGCGTGTAAAGCCATGGAAAGAGACATTCAAGCTTAGTCTGCCAGCAAAATTTGTCCCTCATAATGCAGGAAATAGCATGTCAGAGGGTCAAGATTTCAAAATTTTCACTCATATAAATATTATGATGCTAGTTACGTCAAAGTAAAATTTGCAATGACGAAAAAAATTTTGGCTGACTAGAATACTGGCCATATTGCATAATGTTTTAGTGATATCTGTTCCCATCAGAATGAAGTATTTGCGTATGATAACACTATCAGTACCCTGGCTTACAGACGGATGTGGAATGTGGGGCCATGTATATTTATAATACTCTTGGGTGTGATTACATTGTGGCGGTATTAACACCATTCGCTACGCATTGCTGTTTGGGGTTATCGATCGAAGTCTTGGAGATCTTATCACAGGCATTTCTTTCCTAACAATGTAACATCTTCCTTCATGTACATGTATTACACGGATGCAGCTGCATTTGCTCATAATCATATTATCATAATTTTGATTTTTTTAAAATTCTCTCTAGACTGGGCAACAAGAACAAAATGATTTCAGAACAGTCTGATCGTCCATATGACCCACCTTTTAAACAAGCAGTACCAGTGATAGCAAAACAGTACGCATTATCATAGAACGCTGAGATTTGGATACAGTGTATATCCGACTGAAGATTTTAAGAATCACTTCCTTTTAATTACGTTTGAATGTGGTCTTTTAAGTGTATTTTTAAATCTGTCATTGTTGTGAAACATGCCCATAGCTGCCATGTGTTTTTGACGAATAAACCTTTCCTTCCTAAACCTTTCCTTCATTCGTATTTGTTATGCTGCTCCAATAAAAAAATCCACAAAAAAACAGTTGAAGCATTTTAACATGCTGTGTTTGAAATATGCCGGGACCTTTTCATGCCGTATAAAACAATACCAACCAAGCAAGAGATCAGGTGGCGACACGTTAACGGAAGGATTAGTGCTTGAGGCAAACACGGCCTGTTTTGGATGGCATTTCAGTACAAAGGGCAAAGATGTCTGAAAGGTTGTCTTTGAGGGATTGACATTCTGAGACATGAAACCAGAGGCCAGTTATGCGTTATTAAATGAATATTAAAGGCTACACACACGTCTTGTACATGTATAGTACACAAGCTAGGAATACGGATAAAAACAAAGGTTGCTGTCAGAAAGGTTAAGTATAACGTATATAAGTGTTTATGTAGCAACACTGCAGGAAATAGTATTGATTAGACTGTCAGCCTACCTATGCATCATGCAAACAGAACTACGTTTTAAAGCAGCATTTAATGTAACATTGGGATGATACAAAAAAGTAGATTTTCTCATCGTTTCTATACTCTAGTTGAATCAACCCTACTCCATTGCAAATATGTACGATTCAGGAAATTAGGTGCTAAACAATGACACATTGCGAGACATTAGCTGGAAACACAACTGCCAGTCATGTTTGTTTACAATCTGATAGTTTGTGGTGGCACCACAAAATGAGTATGCCTCGTGTGGGCTGTTTAAACGCCAACCATAAATGTCAGAAATGTGAGATAATTGCATAAATATGTTGAAAAGTAAATTACAATCACACGTATACTGTTGACTGAAACTCTAGAATTTCAATTTTTTGGGGCAAAAATGTTACACAATGCCTCTTTGAGAAAATATTAGTATTTTTGTCACACAGCATCGATATCTTTGGATCAGTGACCTGAGGTAGACGGGGCATGATGACAGGTACATACCCTTGGAACACAATGATTGCTTTTACCTACTTGCAATTGGGAACCTGATAATTGGAAATAGATAAGTAGAGTGGATATCAGTGTTCTGGCCAGCCTGAATTTTTTCCTGTCTTCTCAATTTTGTTTGAAGCTTGATACAAATGTACCATGTTGAATGCCAAAGCATTGCAGCAGATGCATTACAATATTTGAAGGGAAAATTTGGTAATCATGACACCTTGAAATGCTATTTCCTCCATCTTCAAGAGCACATTTTGCTGGTACACTAATGGTTAGTTAATGATATCTCTATATCTTACACACCGATTTTTGCCCATGAAAGAGATTGGGCCAAATTTTTGGCCGTCATGAGTGGCAAAATGACAGAAGGATGTATGCTGGTTAAAACAATGGCAGATATATTTTATACAATATGGCAGGGAAGTGTCATATAATATAACTAAAGGGAAAACATGTATGATGGTAGATTTGTTAGGGACTGAATATGTACCTTATTTATAGATTCATATTATTTGAAATCATTAGAATTGTTTTTTTCGTTACAGTCTATTTCTTTGGAGTGCCCCATTTTCTTGTTGACAACACAATGCGTATTATATTAAATGGCGACATATGTTTTTGCCACCATTCCCCCATCCATCGCCAAATGAATACTAACCAAAAATCAATCAGCAGCGTTTGCTGCAGACAGAATTAAAGGAAGAACGGCGTATTCAGGACACGGTGGCAGGATTAATTTTAAATATGAGCTTCCTTTTTCTAAACATGGACGCAATTTATGCTGGTGGTTGGAATATTGATACAGACTCTTATAATCTTGGCCTTGATGTAACCTGTATTATACATTTGGATATATACATTAAATCTAGTTTTTTGTGCAGTACATGTTTGACCCAGTAATATTTACACGTAATATGAACGTGAAATACATCACAGACTAAAAATTGAATAGAATGATGCATATTTAAATTTAGACTTAGAGCTGTACATGCACCTTAACAAATTTTGGGTACAGGTACATGACTGTTTAGGTATACAGGTTCAGACCTATACCTGTACCTGAACATCTGAACTTCTTTGTAATTAATAATACAAGATTTTGATTTTTTTTTGCTCCCCGTGAAAAGGAAAAATAAAACCACCATGACTGAAGTCAATATGGATGAACTGTAAGACATAAAGAATTATTACAGAATTGAGAATGATAACAGCTTTGTAAAATGACGGACCATAAGTATCCTCCAGAATGAAGCTACCATTACTACTGATGTGGAAAGCACTCGTATCTCCCAGGCCTGACATCAAGTTATCTGTTCCAAGGGTGAAGATGAACCCCTCCAACTGGCGAAGGGAAATTGCTTGAACCGAGGTCAAATTTCTCCTGTCCGCAGGGCAATAAAATTGATTACGGAGGACTCTTCTTGAGACTGTGAAAGCGTAGCTTTGTCTGAATTTATTCACAATCATTTGTTTTACATGAGCCGACGTTTCGATGGCCGTCTGTCATCTTCATCAGGGGTAATAATAACATGTGGTTTACTGTGCACTGGAGCTAGGTGTTACTGGTTCACTGTGAACTGAAGCTTGATGTTACTGCAAGGATAGTCCCAAGCGTAAAACAATTGTGGCATACGTAAGTTGAACATTATTAAGTGTTACATGTCATTTCAAATGCAAAGTATTGATATATATATAAAATTGTTACCCATGTTGAACAATATGTTGAACAATATGAACAATATGTCTGTTGGACAGAGTTAGTGGCATTATACAATGCCTCATTTGTCAGTGTCGCAGTATCTTTTAGAAGACCCATATAACAGCTGTTGTATCTGAATACCACCATGCAAAGGAGAAGAAGAAAACTATGCTGTTTTTTTATGCTGCAGTCTGACTGGACACACTAGAAGTAGAACACCTGAAACACTGAGGTGCAAGTAAGAAACACGAAAACTCCCGGGAATAAAACTCAGCTCACCAGCTCAAGAACCCGCAGCACCATCCACTACTAGTAGGCTAAAAGGTCTGGACCTGTTACAGTGTAAACAGGTCAGTTCATAGCACTTGAACTCCACTGTTACACAACCAGGGGGTAACATCAAATAGAATTTACTCAAGAACTGATTTTACTGAAAATTATACTCTTTATGCAGTAAACCAGCAAAAATGTAGAAAGAGCAGTATCGTTAAATGGCATTTTATTGTATTCCCTACTGTCATTATATGCCTGTAAATCCAGGACAAAACATTTTATATGATATCGTATTTGTCTTTTGCAGATAATTTTCAATGTTATCTGCACTGGTGTAGGTTATGTGCAAAAAAAAAAAAATATGGCCGGCATGTGATAGGATTTAAAACACACAACACAACACAGCTTAGAACCATTCCAACCTTGTTATTGAAACTCACATCTGGTACACAGCGCAACGTCCATTTAAAGAAAATCAATAGGTACCTGTTTACCAGCCTTGGCAAATAAATGTGGTCATCAGTCTATAGTCTGTATATATGGACAGAAGCCTTTTAAAAGATACAAACAAATGCATTACACTTAGTGAATACCATTACTTAAATGGCTCAACTTGAAAATCAAACAAAAAAGCTATATATATCTACTGTATTTTCTGCTATAAAAGCGTAACATTCCAACTTATCTAAACCTCTCCGTCTGTCATTCTTAATCTCAATAAACAGGATAATCCTCATTATGACAAATGATGATCCCGCCCTTATCTTATCTGGAACATGTACATGTACATGTACAGGGCTCGAAATACTGGAGCTGTGATGTTATGTATGCTACAGGGGACAAAGGTTCATTCAACTTACGTACTACATTGAAAGAATGACCAGAAAATTCACTTTGAAAATCCAGCTTTGTCGCCCTGACCTGTCTAGAATGATAGACGTCAATAATTTACTAATTTTATGCCAGACTTTATTGACTTCCGGAGAGATATCGGGTAGATAAGATAAAGAATTGGCAGGAAAGGATCAATGAAAACGGAATCAATTAGGTCTGGTTGACCCAGACAAACAGCTGACTATCAATTTAAGTTTTTTTTTTTGCAAAATAAAGACCTCATCACTGATTCTTTACAGTTTACTTTATTGTAAACAATTAATGTCACTCAGAAATGTGAGATAATTGCACAAATAATAGAAATGTGGAAGTAATTAAATCGAAATCACAAAGATTTTAATCAAAATACAGTATTTCAATTTTGGGTGCAAAAATGTTACATGATGATGCCCCTTTAACGCTGTAACGTTATCATTTCCAGTGGTAAACCATAAGTCTAAACCCAAATCCATGTAAACCTAATTATGTCCATTACAATATCTCAGATTTAAAATCCAGTAGCACGGGTATCTAATATACATTATCAATACAGGGACGCTTCTGCTATCTTTTCAAGCCTATTCTAACACGGCACTTTCCATTGAGGAATGCCTCCACCAAAAAACGAGCAACCAAAAACAAAATCTCAGATTTCATGCGAAAAGGCAATTAAAAAATAATGACCCCATACACCATAGCGCAATTCTCACAAATTCGTAATATAGTTTTATATATAGTTTTATAATCATGTAAAAAATTATGTCTAAAGGAATCAGTTTCCTTATTACAGAATGTAGAGAATTGTAAAACGCCTACCTGTTCTGGTGTCGAATGCTACCACAAAGATCGCCACTATGTAATCGGCTTCTTTGATGTCCTGAAAGTTCGAATTACTGGCGCTGATGTTGATGGTATTTCTGCAGTACAGGTCTTCAGGACCGATGATTCCCGGTCTCTGGGAGCTAGCCTTGAGGTAGAGGGACTTGACCTGCTCCCTGGAGCGCCGGTATTCCGAGGAATCGTCCTCGTTGTCGAGGAGCGGTGTCTTCTCCGATGTGTCATTCGCCATGTTGTCTCTTTCTGCGGGTAATCAGGTGATGCCCGCGACCTTTGACCTAGCTGTCAATCATTCAAGGCGACGGAACACGCATCATTTTCCATGAAAACTCCCCCAACCCCCCCAATTCGATATATTTAAATCACATCATACAGTCCACTAGTAGAATAAAGTGTATATGAATTTTCTGTGATTGATATTTTTGCTTTTATTCCCAAAAACTATGGCAATGTAAGAAAAATACTAACGATTGTTCCATCGCCCTGTGATCATATTTACGTGCGAACAGTGATCGTAAAGTTGTTGGACTGTCACACGTTTCTGAGGATTTCTTGGCAAAAGAAGCGATACAGAGCAGTATACCTATCACCAACAGTCTCAAGAGAGTCTTAAAATCACAGCGAAGTATATCTTCCTTGCCCAGCGTGAACAGAGAACTGTCACAGACTGTGAAACCAAACCAAAGATCAGGGGACCAAGCAAGGACGTCAGCCAACATGTTCCAGTTTGTGGTAAATTTGAACTTCAGATAATTCCGGGCCGCCTTGCATGATGTTGTTTAGCAAAACAGTCAGACTTTACAAACGTGGCATACATATGACGTACTCCAGATGCCATGTCATTGACGTCATTTTACAGTATTTTATTCAGCCAGTGCCTCTTTATAATAGCATTTATGACATTTGCAATGACACCTAACCATCCAAAAGAATTTCAAACCTTCTATGAACGGTTCTGTTATAATTTTCAGGTTGGATTTGCCTCTGGAGCAGTATTAGGGGTCTACATAGCACAGAACTATGAGGTAGGTCACTGTAATATCAATCAGTTACAGTTGTATTTGAAATCGACTACTAGTAGCATGTCACATACCCAATGTCACATGAAGTATGTCAAATTTTCACATTCACTGCACACATTACATTGTCAATCATCAAAATAACAAAATTACTCAGAATTTCAATTTTTTTTATAAATCATATTACAAGCTACATGCCTAAAATCATAATACCACCATGCCGGATGATCAGACAGTAACTTGAAACGTCAAAGGCATGAAATATTATTAAAGTTTCAGTGACGTCACAGTTCACAGATGGTTGGTTTATGAGTGTGTCTCAGTGGGGAGGTTGACCTAAAAGGTCATGGGTGACGTCATAACCGCTTGTATACGTGTGAATGTACTAAAATGTTTATTTTTACAAAAACAACCACCTTTAAGGGCATCCAATGCAATTTCAGAAAGCTGGATTTTCAAAGTTAATTTTCTGGGGATTCTTTTGATGTAGTAGTTGGATCAATACTACTAGTATCTCAATTAGCATACGGATATCTGTGAGGCAAAAATGCAATGTTGTTGACTGAAAACAGTTGCTCGTTTTGTATCGTAGGCGGGTTCTAGCTATTTATGGGCGGTACCCAAGTAAAAAAAAGGGAACGCCACAAATATGAAATCATGTTAGCTATAATATGCAAACTTATATCTGATCTGACAACATTGTTTTTAGATATGCTGCAAGAACAAGGGTTCGTACTAAATTTACAATTATTATGTCTATCAAACCAGTTCAGAAAACCATAGTATGCCGATCATGTACTAATATGGTCACTCTACCAAATCAAGTGATTATAACAAGTGATAGGTCTACCCTGTCTTATGACCCTACTCTCATTACCTTTTCTCCATTTCATTGCACAGGTTCCAGATGTCTCCAAAATATTTGGGGAAGCCAAGAGCAAGATTTCAACTCTGGAAAAGAAGAAGGATGACTGACAACTCGTGAAGACCCTTCCCTCTGTAGTGTTGTAGTCATGAAAACCTTAGCAGCCAAGCTTGGACCTGTGCCCCTACATCACCCTCCCATTGTAACATTGTTGACAAAACAATTTCAGACAAATGTTAGACATTGCAGGCTTGCATTGGTACATATTGCATTTTTGTCCGCATAGTAACAATGAACTTTGAAACTACTAGGGGGTATATAAGTTAGTCATGATCATAATATTTGTGTATATGAAAAGAAATGTGACACATTGTCTTTGTAAAAAGTATTTTGGTCAGATTTGTTCTTAAGTTGCAAATGACAGTTGTCATGATGTAGTCAGTGTTTAAGCATGTCTGCTTTACAATCTAAAATTGTACTCGGAAGAAAATGGTGCCCCACCCAAGCTGCTATAATGTAGTAAGGAGGTGAAAACATGTTAGACTAAGTCTATGGTGAAACTAGAGAAGCTGAAACCAGCTCATATAATGTTACTTGTTTTGTACTTGGCAGCCAGGTCTTTTACACAAAGAAGTGAGAAGAGAAACTGAACATCAAGGAAATGTTTACATCAATATTTATTAGTAAAAGTTCAATCGATGTTGGTTTACCAGATACCTTTGACCCAGTGTTGACGTCACACTTCAGAGAAGCCATGTGACAAGTCTCACTGGGTCAGTCTACTGAGGAAAACCAGAGTGACTGGTTGAAAGAGGAAGTGAGAACTATTTGTGGTGTTGGAATAAAAGTTTTAACTTTAAACATGTAACTACCAACACAGATGAACTTTCATGACAGTATCAAGATTTATTGAGGAAGCAATATACTGAGGACAGCTGTTGTGCATGAAAGAAAATGAGACATTAGCTTTAATGATGATGATGATGTAGCCTGTGGTATGCAAGGTAGCCGTGTTAAACTAATTTGTACCCTCAGTCGGTTGGGCAATTTGAGTTGCAGTATGCAATTTTGTCCAAATTGTTCATTTGCTGTGATCAGTTGGTCTGTAATGTCAGCTATGTATAGTGGGTTTAAGCTCTAATAGAACAATTGCTTGTGTTGGGTATGACTTTTTCACAGTACAAAACATTCTCGTAATATGAGATGACAATGTTTTGCATTGTGAAATCATTTTTGATCTTGTCCATAGAGGTAAAAAAATCACCTCCATGATCTATCAAATCTTCCCATCGTCATTCTGTGTATATGTTGCTGTTTAAGGTTGCTGTGGACTTTGGAGGCGGAAGGAACAATACAATGCAACTTTTGGGGAAGTGTTTTGGATATGTGATGATTTTTCTTCAGAAGTGTTGGCTCTAGCCACAATAACTTAACGATCTGCAGTGTGTAGCATTAACGATAGGAGGCACACGTTCCTGGTCTCTGACACCATTTGCTCAGGTGACATCATGCATGTTACGTTGCTATGATGGCATTGATATACCGGTAGGTCACCAATGGATCCTGGATGAAAGTCCACTGCAAATGTAAACAGAGGTACGTTTGCACATTATGTAGAGCAGAACTATATATTCAACGCTGCACGTGGCAACACACCACACAATACAGCGCGCCCCACTGACTCAACTAGGCGGTATAAAAAGAGAAACCTGACGACATCTTGGAGGGAAGTGGTGACTTTCAGGTCGGTTTTGATAATCTCCAAGCAGATCTTTGGGTGGCCGCTGTAATACAATATCAAATCGGCAAGACAGTATTAAATTGGATGTATCCAGGTTTTTACAGGCGCGAATATAGGCACCCTTGTCACCGAGAATCTGCTTGGAGATTAGGTTTTGGGACTATTTTGAATTCCTACAATTCCATGACAATTACATACACAAAGGTCATGTGAATCAAGAGGAAATCGGAACAGAAAGTCTGTGGTTAAAAGCTAGCTTTTCTCTCTCAAGCTATTGTATATACCGACATGCTGGCAGCGTAAAACTAAAACCAGCTCCATTGTAATCGGACGAATACTTTCATTTTCGTCTAGCAAAACAGGAACGCGCTTATACTCGTATTACGCGAGGGAAAAACCATTTCAAGCGTTATACATTTATGTATCATGTCACGTCACAGCGAAACCATAATGTCGGACGCCCACAACCTGTCGGACCAGTGCAGTTCTAACTCGTACAAGATGAACGCCTTGCCGCCCAGACGGTCGTTCAAAGTCATCCTGTTGGGGGACTCCGGTGTGGGGAAATCTTCGCTGTTCGCCAGGTTTAACGGTGATAGCTTCACGGAGGCAACCTTCGCCACGCTGGTACAGGTGGGGAGCTGCAGACGTACCTTCCGATTCGGAGACCGAGAAGTTACGGTAAGAACTAACTGTTAGTAATACAGGGGTAATAATGTATACATACATTAGCGGCCTATCAGCCGGGCTCTATGCCATCACATACAACCCTCCAGTTATCTAACATTGTATTTCCTAAGTATTCGAGTTCTATGCCAGTGTCTCTAGTTAACGTATCGGTAAAGGTCAGACGTCTACAGTGTACTCGACCTCTTGGCTTCCAGAAAAGGACGGAAGAAATTGATATATTACAGGGGTAATATATGTATGCTGAAGCTCTATTGTAGCCACAGCACTTTTTAGTGGTGTGAACGAAGCATATGGACGATTATGTCATACATATAAAATTAGATAAAATGGGTCCATACATGATAACAGCGGTGGTACGAGTATAGATAGATATGTTATGCATATGGCTGCCAACGTACGTACGGAATGTTTTGATTTGGCATGGCAACTAAATAAAGCACTACTGTCAAATGTATTGAATGTTCCCCGAGGCAACAGTTTCTGTTTTTATTAAGCAGAAAATTATTGGCTTAGTTACCTAATAGTATACAATTGCAAGGAGAATAACTACTATGGTCTTCCAAAATGTCAACCTCTGTTACGGCGAAAAGATATCATATGTTTACGATTTTCAAGATTAGCCACACATGTCTAGACGACTGAGAAGGCAGCGTAAACAACAGAATATTAAAAATACTAATAAGGCTATGTTGATTTGATTATGTGGATGACATACGCGAGGGCATGCATTAACTTTTCGTTTTCAAATAGATTTTCGACCATACTACAAGTCGTGCAAAGCAGCTGCAAGACCTGCAATTGCAAAAAAATGGAAAAAGGTATAATCATGATGTATTAGAATGCTAAAATCAATGCCGAAGGAAAATAAGAAAACGAAGAAATGAAAATGAAGACTATTATTCTCCATACCACACTCTTTTTTTTCAACCATCATGACCACGTAAATTTCCGATAATAAAGCCATATTTTGCCACGCTCCTGCCAGTTTCCAAATAATCAAATCAGTATGGCCTAAACAGACCTAAACATATACGGGGCGGCCATGGTCCCGACAGAACTGCACCCGAAACTGGAAGCAAGCCATTGCTATTTGGCATTCACACAAGAATATTAATGCCATGCTGCCATATCATTGCATTGACTCAATGGCACCAACGATTTCAAATTCCTCAAAGGTCGCCGTCTCAAGCGCAACATTATTTTCTTGTGAAACTATAATTCGATAAGAATTGGATTTCAAATTCTATAATCAATTATGCGGTTGGGTCACAGTAATGTTGCTAATAAATGTAACGGTGGCTTTACTGAGATAATCTCTGGTGAATTTGCATAAGTAGCATAGTAGGAAGAAACAAGATGTTGTATTTGTGACATGCATGTATATTCAAATAGTCGGAATTGTCGGAAATTACTATTACTTGAATCACAAGCCCCGGAGCAAAACTAATACCACGTATGTTGTAGAATGTAGCATAACGTTGGACGTAGTCTCTCATATCATTATGTTTTCTTCTGTCATACTGCGATGTTCTTCTGTACTTGCAGTTAGCCCTCGGGCATGTATTTACAATAAACTTTACTAGACTAAGTGCTCCTACATGTTATTGATGCATTGGCCTCTAGATTCCACTTGAACAAAAACATACGTGACCATACGGTCTGCCATTATCAGTCTCACTGTAACCTTTACCACAAGTACCGTTATTATCAGGTGTGACAATTGAAATGAGATCTGATACAAGGCCACATGATATGAGGCAGCTGGCGTCAGTGCTTTCATCATGAACGGAAATCTCATACACAGCTGCCAAGTTCCCAAGCTTGTTAATGATGTATAGCAGTTACGTTATAAAAAAAAGATAAAAGAACTACATTCATACTCATGTTCATGATGAAGACTCCTTTGTGTTGGATCAAAAGTTTTAACTTTAAACATGTAACGTTAACTACCAAGTTGAACATAGATGAGCTTTTATGATATTATATGAAAATAAGTTGTTAACTTGAGTGTAGCGTCACCATGTCATGTTATAAAATAAAAATAAAAAATAAAAAATTCTTCTGGTGTTCACAGCTGGAGTTGTGGGACACGGCAGGCACAGAGCGCATGTTGTCCCTCACAGAAAACTACTACCACCACGCTGCCGCCGCCATTTTTATCTACGACGTGAACGACCAGGCCACCTTCCTCGGTGTCCAGTCCACCTGGGTGCCGTCCATCCGCCGACGCGACCCCACCATGACCACCTTCCTCGTAGGCAACAAGACGGACCTCGCTTCATCTTCTTACGCCTTCGAAAACGTCACCTTGGACGAAGCGAAAAGATATGAGAATTCCATTCAGGACGACTTAAAAGTGGCGGGAAATTTCCAAGTTTCTGTGAAAACTGAGGAGGGGGTTCACGAATTGTTTGAGACTGTAGCAGAGGCCTTGTGTGGCGTAGTGAAGAGCGAGGAAAAGAAGGCAGACGAAACCATTACGCTAAAACCAAAGAATAAACAGAGAGTGTGGGACAAGTGTAAATGTTAACATTCAATGTTCAGGTATTCATATGTTACGAGGGACAGTTTTACTGGATGAGGCGCTTGATATGCTGAGTGATTTCGGGCGAGAAAGTAAAAAAATGAAAATAAAAAATAAAAAAAAATAATTGTTTTACGCCTAAATTTTAAACTAGAATTGTGTGTTGAAAGGCTCAAGAAAAATATTTGCTGTCTATATTGCCCTTAAGCAATTCTAGTTGACTTATAGTGGCCACAGAAATGTGGCATGTCGCTATGACAAGCAAAATTTTAAATCTTTTCAATCTAAACAGGACAGGTGCAGCATTTTCCCCCACAATAACTAGTAACCAAGGTGTGAAATATGAGTGATATTTCCATAACTGTCATAAAATATAAAGGTTTGCACGTATTTGTCGCCTGCTGATTACTTCTGAGCGCAGTATCTAGAGGGAGAGGTGCTGATGACTACTAGTAATGCATTCCAAGGAGGTTAAAAAGGATTCTTTGGTGTAACTTAGTGGGCGACCTAAAGGTCGTTGACCTTGTTCGCTAGTCACCAGCCACGAGCATTAACTTGAATTTGCTAGTATTTACATGCAAGTATCCTTAGAGATACATAGAAATAGACATGTACCAATTACATTTGTATAGAACCTATCTGAGTATCATGACATGATAGCCAGCTCAGGTAGACAGGGTAGCTCGCCAGCCCAGACTAGCTATAGAGCTAGTTCTTTCCGTAAACCCAAAAAAACAAGACCTCAAACGTTAAACAAATTTTACATACTAAGAGTGAGAGCCTTAAATTTTACAATCTATTCAACAACATTCGAATTCTGGTAAGTTAAAAATGTTGTATTTGATGTTAGCAAAATTATGTTTTCCATCTTTGAAGATAACATGCTTTTGGCGGAATAAAGTTTCTAAAACTATGCAAGTTAGATTTGAACCTCCTTGACATGGAATTAAAGATGGCGGCTTCTCGTAGCAACAGAACGCCTGGGGGCGAGGAGAAAAAGTCGTCTGCTAATTATAACGGGATAACCTCCTCGCGGACTCCAAGACATCGAACTCCCTGTCCCAACGGCTTCTTCAGACAAATCCTAGACGAAGACGACAGACTGTTGAGCATAAAGGCAAGGCTGTCGGTTTGTTTTCCCATGTTTTGTGAGTCGGAAGTTTTGGGTGGGGTGGGGGGTGCAGTATATTTGCGGAAGTGGGATTTTTGTCCACTTGACTGATCGACAACGTATCCCATACCTATTTCCACCCGAAACTGATAAAATACGAGGCTATTGCTGATTCTGATCCGATATTTTCACACATAAGCACTATAGTATACAATCAACAGGTGGTTGTAAGTTTTTCATTTATTCGTTACTAAAATCATATGCCGTAACAGTTATGATAGTGAATGGTGTAGATTGTAAACAATATCTTTAGATTGTTCATGTGTTAGCTATGAAATTTTTATACAATCCCTCAATCTTTTTTGAAATGAAACATTATTATGTATTCTTAAACCCTCGAGCTTAATACGTGCATAATGGCTTAAAAAGAATCTCGCAATTTTCTTCCCAAAGTAACGGTATGAAATGCTAACCGTTATGCAATATATTTCAGTCCAGTCTAAATCTAAATGCAAATCCAGAAGGATCGATTTTCGTCATTACAAATCTCTCCAACATAACAATAATGTTGACGAAAGTCCAAATAATAGGTGTCTCTATGGTGATAGCACAACCTTAATTCATTTAAAAAAGCCTAATAAGCTCACTAATTAAATCACTTTAATGGTTCAAAACGTAGACATATATATATATGGTTGTATAAGGAAGATATTTTACAGAAGTATGAACTGCCAATATCAACATTGACCTAGATATGTTACTTTTCGTTTTGAATGTTACGAAAACATTTGAGTAAACAGATCTGTTTGTTTTTTCGTGCAGTAAAATTAGCCTTTACCCCACCCTGCGCCACGTCTTTTCACATCAATACAAGGGTAATGTTACCGAGAGCCGCGGCGCATTGTTTGTTTGGTATAATGTGTTGTTTGTTCGCAGACGCATCTTTTGTTTATCCTCAAGTGTTACAGAGTTGATCGTATCAATTCTAACCCTTATTGTGTTACCCAGTCAAGATTCTTTGACATGATAAGCACAAACATCATTCTGAAGTTTTAACACATTTTTCTGTGGAAAAAGTTGATCTATGATGGTAACCTGAAGTTCAGGTTTCTTGTGACGTGTCATTTGTGACCCTTGACTTAGCTTGTATGCGTTGAGGTCATCATTACTGCACTTGGATAGACTGAACTTATAAAGGCTTTTGTCGTTCTAAAGACATGTGATACAGTGTAGGATTTCTTTTGATTTTCTAAAACATCTAGCTTTTTTAATGGTATCTAATAAAAAAAAAACATGAAGCTTGATTATATAGTAGAATTAATTTGTCTCTTAGACTAAACATAGTTTGTCACATGAATATATGTTATTTCCTCTATGAAGAGACCAGTGTACTAAATGTGTATTCATGCTTAAGGCATGAACATTGTTGTTGCTACACTGGGATTAGATTACTGATTAAGAGGGTAGGGGATTAGATTAAGAGTCCTTAGCTACTTAGTTACCAATGCGTATGTACAGTGTTTGATTTCTTTGTCAATGTTCAGTGGGCCTACGTGCCTTTTTCTGTGAGGTGTAGTGAGCCATTTGAATTCACTGTTAATTGTAGCTGGCCGATATACTTCAATTTTTTAAAGCTATTGAGAAATTATACATGAAACATAATTAGTCGCTTCAATTCCACATATTTTGTTTTGCCTTGGTGTCCTGAAATTGCATTGGAATATGCCTTTAAATTTTATGTAAAAATTTGAAATTGGTATTTTCATTTGTGTGTAGGAAGCAGATAAGAGGGCATTTGTGGACCCTTTCTTCTGCAACTGTCTTCACTGTCAGGAGTTCTACTCCAAACACCTACCTGCCAACATCAGAGATGTGCTGGTCCTGCCAGGCTTTAAACCATCTAAAAGGTAACAGGGAAAATGTTATGTAGCAGGGAAAATGTTAACAAGTAACTAGACAATTGACTTTTTGAGAGTGCACAAAACAACTTGTTCTCTTACTTGTTCAACATGTTTTGGAGGCTAACAAAGGGGAGAGTTGTTTACCACGTGGACACGTTTTTTTCAGGTCTATGCTGTTGGTGGACAGATTTAAGAAGTACCCACAACACCCCTCATGGATTAAACTCGGGGATAGGGTCATAGTTCAAGGCAGATATCCAGGTGAAATATTGTATTTTGCCTTCTTTTACTTCCCTAGGAAAATCAGCAGTATCAATTTTTTGCTTTGAATGATTGAAATAACCCACATTCTGCTCAATTTAGAATATTAAAAAATATGTCTGGTAGCAGATATATTAATTTTGGCAATGAAACAAATCATTAATGATTGAAACTATTGCTAATTTAAATATATTATAGTTTGGTAAAAAGAGACGAGACAAATTTTATCTTTTTCAGGAAATAGTTAGATGATTTTAATCTATTGAATATTATATCTTTTTTGTCTAGGTTTTGTAAAATATGTGGGTGTACTAGATGAAGATGACTTGGCTGCTGAGCTGTATGTAGGAGTCAAGCTTGATGACCCAGGTAAAGTAAATAAGACAGGATCGGTCTCTTGACATCACTTTTTTATGTTGTGATATTGTTTTCAATAGATGATAATGGTGTTTAATTAAAGACACAGTACATAACTTTTTTCAGAAGTTCACTCTGCATCTTCTCTTTCCTCAGTCGGTATGGAGGACGGCTTCTGGAACAACAAGTTCTATTTTGCCTGTCCGAAGGGTCACGGGGTCATGGTCAGGTACAGCGAGGTGCGGAAGGTGTGTCCCCCCACGCGCCGCCCCAGGACGGCGTACTCCGACTGGAGATACTACCACATCCCTGGTCAGAGGAGGAGCAGGAGTGCAAGGTGAGGGAGAGAGTGACCGAGTCAGGCAACTTAACATAACCGCGGCTTTCCTCACTCCACTCAGATGGAAATGAGTGCGTATCTACTACAACTGTAGTGCGTACCTAGCTTTGGTTAGGGATGTCCCTCAGATAGGACATTAAATGGGGCTCCCATGTTTGAGGAGAGCTACAGCTCAAGCATGATTAAGAACCAGCCACACTTATCGAAAAGAGTACACATCATGTAGTTGTCCTTCCTGGTGTGAGTGAATCAAATCATTCCGGTCTAATTATAAACGGGGTAGGGAACCTCCTGAGCAGCTGAGCCTTCATAATGTCTGCTCTTACTAGTCTTAGTGGCCAGTTAGTCCTCAAATTTGTCTTTATCATGTCATGTTTCTGATTTAGGGACAAGATTCTGTTGTAGCCTGATTCTTGTAACCTGTAACCTTGGAGTGGCCTTCAGGTCTTATTATGTGATAACCGAGAAGACTTAGTAAAGAAAAGCCTCGGGTCATTGTTTTGTGTTTTTCCAACAGTGACCCAGGCTCAACTGTATCAGACACGTCCAGTACTAGTGATAGATTCAAGAGTCACAACTCGGACCCAACTAGTCTCCAGTCTACAAACTCCAGGAGGACATCTTCTCATCTCAGGGATGATCCAAGAAGAAACTTACACAGAGACAAAACATCTTCAACCACAGTGTCTTCCTCTTACCCAAGCAGCAGGCATCAAAAGGTACAAATGTTATTTATCGTTGCAAACATTGTTTTGGGTGCCTAGGTCTGTTTGTCCGAACAGAGTAGGTTGACAGGACATGGGTGGGGAAGATTTACAGGTCAGACACGGAAAAATGGGTGGGGAAGGTTGATGGGCATAACACAAGATAAAAAGGTTATACACAGGAAAAGGTGTGAACTTGAGGGTAGATAGACAGCATGAGGGTGGGGGAAAGATTGGCAGGCAGAACGATAGGAGGCCAAAAGGCTAGACACAGGTTTTGGTGTGAAATTGAAGGTCATGAAAACTCAGAAAATACTTCCCAGAAGTCTGAAATTTCTGATTTCTTGATTGATGCTTGATTTTGCAGCAGAACGCAAGGAAAGAGGGTTCTCTACAGGAAGGCACGAGGAGAGAAAACAGCAACTTTAAGTCCTTATCAACTGTGGAGCTGAGAATGCAGGACTGGAGAACACAGTACGGGGAGGATCAGGCCAGGAGAATGAGCGCCGCGCTCACAAACCTCCAGCTGGCCTGGGAGAAAGGCAAAGAAGAGACACAGAAAATGCCCGTGGCACCACAAAAGAAGTGATACATGTACTGTAAAATTGCAAAAACTTTTTACCTTTTCATACTTGTAGAGCACTACAGCATTGTTCAAGCGAGTTTTTCAAACACTGTGAAACTGCGAAATTAAACCACCGTGAAAAAATGCATTTATGGTATATCGAAAGTAAGATAGAACTACAAAAGTTGTAGAAATGCAATGACATTACCTCAGAGCCTATATTGTTTTGTACAGCTTCCACAGTACAGCTAGCAATAGTACTGGCATTGGCTATAACATAACCATGACTTTATTGTAAGAAATTCTACAATGCCAGAATAACTGACTTAATATGGATATTATTCATATTCAAGTGTATTGTTGTGGAACAGCTGATAATGAGTTATTAATACTACATGTAGTAGGACAAAATATCAAAAATTGACCAGAAATATTTTCTGGTAAAATAAGTTGTCAGAAAACTTTATTGTGAGGAACAGATATTACTCAGTAGATGTTATGTCTGAAATTTTTACAACGTAATATATAAATATGTATACGAATTGCATACGTTTTCTTGGACGTATATTGCAATATTGTTAGCTATGAAATAGCATAATGATTAACAAAAGCCATGAGTTATTTTATGAATGTCGAAATTCAACCAATAAATGACACACACAGTTCTATGAATGATGTACGTCTATTTACTATTGACATACAGAGTTTAAACAGTGATTGTTTACACAACAAAGCCCAATAGACCCATTCGATTTTCACGGATCGCATAAACTGCTTACGTCACAAGGGGGACATTTTGACTAGAAATACGTCACAGGGGGGACATTTCGAAAGTTCCTTTCATGGATCGCATAAACTGCACATGTCACAGAACAAAATAACCTTAAATTGTTGTACGGAATGCCACCATACAATGTTGGTGGCTGTTTTCCTGTCATTTCCGCATATATTACCAAGAAAATAGACGCTTACCTACCTTTTAGTAAAAAAATGATATGCCAGGGGGGACACCGCGAGCGCAAGCCACGTTCGATTTCAGTGTTCTAGAACGACGTTCTTTCGAAATGTCCCCCCTGTGACGAAAGCAGTTTATGCGATCCATGAAAGTCGAATGGGTCTATTCAATCAATCACAAGTACTCAATCGCTATCAAAAGCACATACCAAATTTTCACAGTGACATAGAGTGCTTCCAAAAGACTGTCCCTTTTAAAACTTCAAACTATACAAACCAGTTGATACAAACAGTGTTCTAGCTAGCCTGAATTTTTTTTCCCCGTCGCCTGAAGTTGACATATCATGTCAAGCATGTAATGAAACAATCCTGAGGGATCACGGTAGACCACGCATAGTTAAAATCATCTCTTTCCATCTCTTTACACACTGAATTTCATCTGTAAAAGATGACGATTGATCTCACCTAGAGCTTTCGACCAATTATTCTCAGGTCATCTTCTTCAATAGACTGACCTAGTGAGACATGTCAAGCTATAAATTTATTTTGCTTAGTGATTGCTTAGTTTTCTTCATTTAAGCTGTTTACTTCATAAAACATCTTGTTCTGTTTTTCTGTGAACTACACATAAGTCAAATCATTGATGAGATAGTAGATTCAAGTTATATTTTTTATTATTATCTAATAGTATCTTTCTTTTAGAAATCAGGTCACCCAAACCCCATTAAAATTGAATTGTTAGACATGAGATAGGACAGGTCTGACATTTTTCACTGCCACCCCCCCCCCAAAAAAACACAGTTAAAACGAACCAGGTGTAGCTGGCAGGAATATACCTCGGTCAGAATATACCCGGGTACATTCCGGCAAGGGGTACATTTCAGCCTGCAACACCTGAATAACCAACCTATTCAGTTCAAATGAGTTCTAGAATTGATTGTACTGATGTGACTTCAGTCCAGGTTTTCCATGACTCGACTGTAGACTGACAGAGATCTCAGCTCCAGCCAAAGGAAGCCAAAGTTGTTGTTGTCAAACACGACAAAATGACCTGGAGTTCTGCTTGGACTGGTGAAACCATGGCCAGCAATCAGCCCTGTTCCACAAAACCTGAAACATGAAAACAAGAATTATGTTAGTCATTGTGTGCCTCATTGTTCTAGCCATTATGAAGTTTTTTTTGTTCACTATTGCGTTTACCAGGTATTTACTTGTAGCAGTTGGTACATTGGCCAGTTTACAAGCCAGTTTATACATCTTAAATATCCAAAGAACATGTCATATTTTAAAATGAGATCAGCAACTATGGCATCATATCAATGTGAACGTAACAACACAGCTACCAACCTCATTTTGCAGGTTTTGGGGTAGTTGATTCCCCTCTCTCTGAAGCCTTCTGGGATAGCAAATGGCTGACTTTGAGGAAGGTGCTGCTGGGATACGTTGTGGTCTGACCCAGAAGCGCCACCTTCCTGAGGTTGGTTGGTATTGCAGCTGGCACTGTTTCCATTCGTCTCTTCCTCTGAAAAAAAACATAGGATGTATGTCTGCCGTCCTGACTTATCCGTGTAATGTAGTATGGGTGGTATTCCGGTAAAAAGTCATGCAAAACACCATTAAAATCTATGCATTTTTCAATTGAAATGGATACCAATTTTGTCCATCAAGGTTGACAGACTGGTTTAAACACTTTTTTCGTCACACGCCACAAAGTTTCTGATGGAAAAACAGGTGCTGGCTAGAGCCCTGGTGTGCGTCCTAGCGTGTAAACTGGAGTAGCTGTTGACCAACCTTCCTTGTCAGCTTCCTCTGTGGCTCGTGCTAACTCTGCCGGGTCCACCTATTACAAGGAGAAATCAAAAATGTCAAATTTGCTGTTTGATATTCCAGCCTAAACTAGAATTTCCATGGAATCGGCCAGTTGATTTTGACTACAAACTTAAAATGAAGTTACAATCAGATTCATTCAAAGTTTATTGCACAACTATTGTAATTTGTAGCAGGACTGGTACAATGTGTGGCAAGTTCTTAATACATTTTGTACTAAAAGTAAGTACTGTACTTATCAAACAGTGCCTGGTACAGAATGATTATGACCCACCTGTTGTTCTTCATCCAAAATTAGAGGCTTCTTCGTGTCCACCAGAACACTGAGCTGAGAGGCTGGCACGTTTGGGTCACCCTGAAAAAGGTACACAACAAGAAATCAGAGACTTCAGACATCTGGGAAGTGCCATGAATCACTTTATGTTTGCAGTAGCAGCCATCCCTCAACAGAGACGGGGGCGCCATAGACTTTCTGCAACCTACACGTATGATCCACTGCTTTTTACACCAACTGAAGTCAGGTACCATTCCCAAAATCATATCCAGTTGTTTGGGAGTGTCAGCTTCCGTGACGTCACACAGACACAACCCACTGCCCCTATGGCCTCAAAATGGCTATGGGACTAGCTTTACCTAAATGTACCTTTATAATGCTATTACTCTGCTTATGTTTGCAGTCAAGTCTACATGGAGACCAGATGACAAAAGTTCTATGAATATGAAAACCACACAAACTTGTAACGTGTTACTTACCGTGATTTTCTTGCAGTGGATATAGTTCCTGTCGTAAGTTAGTAACACGACCTCCAACCCGTGACTTCCATACGTGCCCTTGAACAGACCAGGCGCAACCAGCTGATCCGGTAGGTGGGGGGGTATGGTCAGCTTTTTGTACACATAGCAGAACCTACGGTGTAAAAAAGTGAAATAGGTTACCACACAGTGAACTTGGAATGTGATCACAGGTATTTCCATGTCAATCACAAATTTTGAATAAAAAATACCGCAAACACCCAACTTGCAACATGCCACAAAAAGTTCTTCAATAATAATAATAGACGAATTTACATCTCTTGGTTAAAACCTTGAACTGTCCAAGTAGCAAGTTAGTTACATGTAAGACAAGAAATAATGTAGATATTCTGAACTGAATTGTAATTTGTCATCCTGCACAGCCCCAAAGTTAGCTAGCCTGAGTGTCAGCCTTGTTAGCTTTCGACTGCTCCCCAAGATCCTAGGAACACTAACAAGGCTGACACTCACAGGTAAAAGTTAGCCTGTCGTACACTGGGGCCCCCTTCCAGATTGAAAAGGAACTGCAACTGGACTTACTGGTACTGGTTGATGATCATGAACTTCATGAAGAGCAGCTCCTGCATGTGCTGAAACATGATATCTTCCTCAGACATGCCCATCTCCTCCCGACACCATTCCAAAAACTCCTGTAATTCCAAGATTGGGCCAACAAGAAATCAGGGATTTCAAACTTCTGGGAAGTAAATAATTACACCATAGATATTACTAATACATTCACTAAATACTTGCACAAAATTTTTTTGCTTGCACAACATAGATTTTCAGGTACATGTAGAATGCACAGATTCTAGCTATAATTGTATTAACAGAAATACACTGGAAACTGTGTTCACGGCGGTCTGTCACTACGGTATTCTTTCCCATTGCTAGGGGGGTTCGAAAACGTATCGGGTTACAAGACGCAAGTTTGGCCTGTTTTGGACTACCCGTAAACCACTTGAAAATAAACAAACAGTATTGAAGGGTAAATTCCTTCAAATAAATATGAAATTACCGTGTTTACATAGGACTAATGTTAGTTGTTTACGTTAAACTACTAATTTTGATAAATCTCGCTCCGAAAGACGATTTTTTGCGGGATTTGGAGCACCAGTCCGAGACAATCCGGGTCATGATTTTAGGCAAACTCCGTTTAAGATTGGCTACGTATGTTACCCAAAATCCCCGATTTTTATGTTTTTCGACGACTAGGAATAAGATCAAAAATCGTGTCTTAGGAATTTTTTAATTTCTGATTTTAAGTATAGTTTTTGTCGACATAAATGTGAAAAAACGGCATTTTTTGACATTTTTCGCACTCAATTGCTCATAATTCAAACTCAAGGTCCTTTTTCGAAAATCCCTAAGACACGATTCTGGGTAAACCCGTTACGGTCATTTTGAGCCGTCAAGGAGATATGTTGGACTCTCCATGCTTCCAATCTTAAACGAGTTTTGGACGCATGTCATACGGCATGAATATGACTAGTGTTTATTTAGGTTGATGAGTACAAGCATTGCGATCTTCAAGGTCACCCACGATAACGGCAGTAGCTTCGTTTCATGTTCCAGTACACTACAAAATGAAGGCAGACATGTAGTTGTCCAGGAAATGGTTTATTTTTATTAAAAGGTGGATTTTTTCTGTTAGGAGGTACATATGTAAAAAGGGGCCGGAAGACCAAGGTTTACTGTAAATGACCGCGGGTGACCCCATTTCGAACACCGTTCTATTCGAATTACGTCAGATCGAACATGGTTCGGGTTCTACTGCAGGTGGGGAGATTGGGGCCCAATTTTGACCACCGTGGTTTTTTACCTTTTCATTTTTTTACTGGATATTTCTAGTGATGCCAATAAACTGTAAAGCTACTTGCGCTGGTGGGAGTGCAGTCAAAAATTACGTGCCCCCCTTAAATTCTATGTGCAGAAAGGTGATACTATATTTTATGGGTTACATTTGAGCCCTGTTGGCTCAAGAATGATGAGGATCACTTACCCGCTCCCTACCCTGTGGATGTCTGTGTAAGTCTGGGCAGCAGCATTTCGACATGAACCTTGCCGCGCTGGCATTCTGAGAACAGACATTAAAACAAGAAATCAGACCACTCATACATACATGTACATACATACATCCATACATACTAGTACATACGTACTCAAGAAATAAAACAAATTGATTACATTGACATAAAGCAAATAACGTAGAACTTATGGTCAGAACAATATGGAATACAAGTCCTATTTCAGTCTGGTGTGGTGGTAAGTTGCCTTTGTCTGATACAAAGTTTGTTTCACATTATACAGGCCCCTGAAACTATCAAGAATCAAAATTGTTCAAGGTTCTGCTGTTTGAAAGCCTATGATCAAAAAATTTTTGATAGAACTTTTATCATTCCAAAGATTTTTCATCAACAAGTTGACAAGCCTTACCAATAAGGGGATCTGCCCTTTATGAGGACCCTGCGGACCCTGTAGACAGCTGATAGTGGTATTTCCCTCTTCATCAAGCATCACATGGAAGAGTTCTTTCACCATCATGGGCCATTCCACATGTGGATCGTGGGGGGCACCATACTGCAGTCCCAGCAACTTGTTATTTTCAAACTGCAACACAGCAAAATCTTAATTAAAAGAATCAGAATGTGCCCTATCCATTTACAAGATATAAACAGCAATCTAACTATATAGCAGTAGGTGAAAAGTAGACTCTAAAAAAAATGAAAATAGAGATGATTTAAAACCTACCTTAACATGGACCAGACCTCCATAAGGTTTGATTTCTATCTGCCATGTTCCAAGTAGAAACCCATAGTTGTGTAGCACTGAAAGAAACATTACGAAGAAATCAGAGATTTTCAGACTTCCATTTTGCATATTGGGTTTTAAAGACTTTCAAGTTCACCCCATTTCCAGTGTCTGACCTTTTGACCTCCTTTCATTCTGCCTGTCAATCTCCCAAACCCATGTGTTTTCAGCCTACTTTGCCCGGACAGACACACAAACCCACAGCTCAGCCCAAAACAATGCTTCCATAGTATCCATAGTGTCTTCATGCAAGTTATTGTACAAGTTGAATCACAGAGATGGCCAAAGTGTAAAAAAAGCAGAATCCCTTACCATTAAAACCCCAATTATTTCGGGACTGACACAGGGACCACAACATTTTTTCCCTCAGCCTTACTATGTACATGTAAATATTTACGATTACGTCTGTTCATCCGGGTTGACAGACAGTCAGCCTAAAAAGCATTGGATGTCTTTTCATTTCTTTGTTATTGGTTTTCAGTTGATCACTTACGCTTTGTGTAGACCTCTCTTGGAGATAAACTGGAATTACAGGACACGCCAAATTCTGCAAGATGAAATCAAATGAAGGGGTTACTATCACAGTGATTGAATGTCTCAAATATTTTTTAATATGCAGAATTCAAGTCGTTCTATACCTTCTACATTGTATCAGGCTTTCTCTCAGTACTTAGCTGACACAAATTTTACCCCATACAATTGTTGTGCAATAAAGTCTACATATATCATAGGTTCAATAGTGTGGCTTGCATGTGTGAAGTGATTGGGTTGGACAAAGACTGCTACAGATATTCCTATTTCCCTCAGACCGTCAGGGATTGGAACACGTAGTACGCTTCCCCACTGGTCATAACAGAAATCGCAGAGCCTGATAACTTCCAGGAAGCTGTACTCTTGCACCTGAGGAAACAATAAGGGTGCAGCGCACTCCCCCTGTGGGTCTTACCCCAACAGAGGGGTGTTGCACAGTATCATCTTAAAAAAAACATTATATTTGTACTATTACTAGGGGCAACACTAAAAGACTCATTACCAAGCATTCCCACGCATTACCAGGTTAAACATCACGGAAGTCAAACATTGCATGGGTACATGTAGATATGTTCCCCTCGTATATAAACCATACATTTTATAAATGTGGGCTTAAGCTTATATAGGGTCGAAAATTACCTTAAGTCTCCACTGTTTTTCTTTTGAGATGGCGGCCCTACTGCAGAGGTCATTGACCTCCCCGTCTGTCACCAGAGGAAGGAGTGCAAAGGTCACACTACAGAGGGTCTGCATGGGGGGGTCCTGGCAACGGTTAACGGTGAATTCAGCAGGGCCGATAACGCTTAACGGTAAATTCAGGACGGTCGGCAACGCTTAACGGTAAATTGACAGACTTTTTTTCGTTCGAGCTGCACTGGATTTGGTATCTCGCTTTGTTGGAAAAGGTGATCACTGACAAAATGACGTATATCTTACATGTAATGAAGCACGCATTAAAGGTATGTGTACCCTGTGTTCCCCACATGCCCTGGTCCCCGAGTGCGTCCACAAATAAAGGGGAGTCTGAGTCGACGTCAGCCAGCTTGCATTTTTTTCAGTCTGCCCAGTGGATTTTGAGAGGGTAGCGTCGTAATCTAGGGGGGTCCGGGGGAATGCTCCCCCGGGAAATTTAGGATTTTCAAGCCTTCAAAAACGCAATTTCCCACATTTTAAGAGGCAAATCATGGTGTTGAGAGTGTTTGTCGGTCCTTCTGATGTTTTCACATTTTACTCAAGATTTTTGTTAATTTGCCTGTCAAGGTTGACGGATTCTTTAAAAAAAATTCTGTAACTCTCCGCAAACTTCCGGAAATTGACAGGAAAGCTGGTTCTGGCTGAGCCGCAGGGACCGAGCGCAGAAGCACGAGTCGAGCGCGAAATTTTGTATTTTGAACCTTCAATGACGCATTTTCCTGCACTTTGAAAGGCAAAATTAGGCGTAAAGAAGAATTATTCATTAACGCTTAACTAATTTAGGATGACAAATAACGTTTTACGTTGAATTAATACGACCAATAACGCTTCACGAGGAATATACTGATAACGCTTAACGTTAAATTAGAGCGGGCCGGCAACGATTAACGGTAAATTAAAATAGCCCATAACGGTTAACGAAAAAGGGCATGCAGACCCTCACTACAGAGGGCCAAGTGAGACAAACGGACACTTTCTGCGACATTTGGGGCAATTCATGTAACAACCTATTGCAATTCAGACTGCCCCCTTTTTGTGACACTTTCAGTTTCTGGGGCCTGTTGTATGGACAAGAAAACTGCGACAAATGCAGTTTATGGTCCCAGCCGGAGAACCTTAAAATGAACTGGATTTGCGACATTTTGGTCAATGTGCATGTCACACCTGCATCGTACACTTTTCTTCTCAAACCCGTGCCCCTAACAATTGTTTACTATTTAGCAGCACACATCCCCAATTGCAAGCCTTACGGGAAGGCTGCGATCTCATTGCTAATTAGTGTGGTGCCTTGAGGCTGAAGCTGTAATAAAAGTAGTTCATATTGAAAGCCTGTGTGTAATTGCTTACTAGTATATCCCCTTTCACCTAGAGCTGCGAATGTGAGTTTAATTGCTGATGACTGCCCGGTACATCTGTCTGACCATATGGAAAAATTCACACAAATACAGAATACAACCAATTGAAAGCATTTTGAGGCCACACACATTTTATTTACCGGTATTGGATAACATTGATTTCATCCACACTGTGTACCCACGTACGTATACACTAATTCACAACAAAATATTACAATCACCATCATCATCATCATCGTCACTACCATCTTTTGAAGATGCGGACCACAAACGGTTTTCTACTCCAGCACTTGCCTGCATCCTGCCCAAAGCCATTTCCTCTAGATCCCTTGTGACTGTTTTTCCCATGCCATTACTACATATACATATATATATATAACATGACAATATAAAATGCACTGTTTTACATGGCAAATACATCATGTTTTCTCAGCCAGATTGAGACTTTTAAAAGTAGTAAAAATGACACTCATTGATAGTTACCAATAAGAAACAAGATTGACAAAAAATACATTCTTTTTGATGGATGACATTCCATCTTCCCATTTTTGTTTACATTCTGCATTTTGTTCTTTTGTTTTCTTATTGCTTTCCCCTAATATATAATGTTCCTGCTAATTTCAGAAAAATCTAGCTCCTAGAAAAATACTCTGTTTGTTCTCAAATATTTTTGTTATGATAATCTTAAAAGATCTCTTCTGACAAACAATCTCTTTATGTATACAGAACGAATTTCACATTAGGTTATTGGCATACAAGTACATGTATACGCCCAAAAGCAGTTACTCAAGCAACTGGATATGATTTTGAATATCCAAATCATATCCAGTTGCTTGAGTAACTGCTTTTTGGCGTATCGTATACCTGGATGTCTAACCTTCATCGACGTAAGTACATGTATTCTGTGGACGCCATGATCTGATTTCTAGATACTCCACAGGCCTCGAAATTAATTTTTCTTAATTGTCCCAGCACTGTCCCAAAGATAAATTTCAATTATCCCGAAGTGAGGATGAACTTACCCGACCTGTTTTTTTTTAAAGTATTTTGTGACTTCAACTTGAAGTCAACTTTATTTCACTTATGTTCACTCCCAGGTGCACTATAATTGCAGTGCAGATACTTAGGAAATTTGGGGGGACTTTTCCGGATCCAAAAGCCGGGACGTGTGCCTGATAAACAAAAGAAGGGCTGACATTCTGATGTTGATTATTTTTCTATTGGCCCAAAAATGTCCCAATGTCTTTTTAGTTGTCCCAGCCTAAATGTTAGTGGTCATATTGGCCACTGGACCACCTTTAATTTCGAGCCCTGCTCCATGGAGTCGTGCCTGGACATCTTAGTCCTTTTTCTTAGAATTCACCTGTAGGTACATCTTGTAAAACGGAGTATACCGGATCAGGGATATGCCAATGAGAAGAAATGCAAGCGATTCAATCAGCCACAAGTAGAGACTTGGATCCTTCTGAAAGTTAGAGCAGAAAACAAGTGGTTAGCATTTTGCAAAACAAAACTAAAACATGTTTCTCCCCGGCGATATGTCCCACATTTTGACAACAGAAAAAAAACGTAGGGAACAGGTCATCTACACAATGTAGCTATATACTATATTAGGTATCCAAGGCCACTAGACATAAAGTTACTGTAATATTTAGTATTGACTAAACAGTACAACTAAGTCTAAACTACAACAAATTTCATCCAGGATACACTTTGTCCATCTAAAACGACCAAATGAATGCAAATGTGTTGAAGTACTTGCCGGGTTGCACAACAGTGTATTGCAGAATATGAGGGAGCACGTGCCGGCAGCCAGGAGGAATTGGACACCGGGAAACCAGTCCATGTGTGCCTTGATGTAGTCTCGCCAGCTCTGTGTTGGCTTGGTGTTGGGGATGACAGTGGCCTTCTTCACGACCTCTGTCATTGTCGACAATAGTTGACGAACTAGAGGAGAAACAGGTTGTAAGGAATCTGGGATAACCTGACTGGTGAAGCAACTACAATGAGCTTCTTCAGATGTTGGAGCTTGAGTGACGCCTAAGGAAATAAAATGTTGTGTTTCCTGTTTCAGTCCTGACAAACTAAGGTTGGTAGGTACTGTCTTTTTTTTCCTTTTTTTTCCTTTTTTTGGACTTTGGCGATTTGTATCAAAAGTCAGCAGCAATACCGCTATGTTTTCCTCCCAGAAACATCATATTGACTGTAGTTAATAAGCTAATTATTAGCATATCGTAGAAAGAAGAAATTCAATGTATAATAGTCTTCCTTATTTGGCTCAAGGATCTGAGGAAGGGCGACTCATTACACCTCAGGTCCTGCTTAATGAAATAAAGAGTAATAAGAACCCTGTGGTTTTCAGAAAACCAACTGTAGCTCGAGATAAAAGATGCCCTGCGGGGTCTGCAACAAAAACATGGCCTCCTCTTTTCTTGCCATAGTGGAAATATTATTCACACAATTTATTGATCTACAATATAATTCACAAATATTTCTACCAGTACCAATTATTTATAGTTACACCAACAAAAATTTTGTTACCATGGGGATGAAAACCAACGACACATGAATGTTCAAATCTTTTGAAAAACCTTCCATATGGTACTTATTTATAAATTCTTTTTGTTTTTGGTACTGGTGCAAATACCCCTAAAATGATATTATCTTGAGGCATTTGTCCGTCATTTATGTATATACACTTTATACAACATCCTGAAGCAATGAGTCCTGTTCTTACCTGTTGATATGGGCAGAGGAGTTTGTTGGATGAAATTTGCCTGGTGAGCTGCTGAAGCCGGCTGCACGCAACAACACGCCACGAGCGCAACAACAGGATGGTAATTATGAGGAAGGACCACCAGCCTCTTCCTCCTTATATCACCCTGGCAACAGGGGCCTCTTTTGGTGCCGCTCAGGTAACAATGACATCATACGCTTCATTTGCATGCGCATCTCAGAGAGATGTGGAAATTCAATTGATGACTGCTGTTTGATCCAAGTGCTATATTGCCATATATAGCAATAGGTTGTCAGCATTATAATATTATTATACTGTGTATCGTTCTGCTTTTAAAGCAGGATAGAATGCATAATGATGCTAAGCAACATTGCTCAAGATTTTATGAAATCTTGGAATTTCCCTCAATGGCTTTGGAATCGTTAAAAGCAAACGGATGTCGTTGTCAGTGGGAGTAACAGTCGCGTTGTTTAAGATATCCATCACCTTTATCTTTATCTATTTCCAACATGTTTTTGTGTGGTTGCAGTGTACCGATCCGGCTGCCTTAGGGCATAGCCGTAGATTTGTGCCTGAGAACAGTCATTTATTATTATTATTATACACTATTCTAATGTGTTTGTGTAGGTATGATGCACTCACCAAGCCATACCAAAGCACTGCTCTCTCAAAAAAGTAAATAAAATACTTCTATAGAAATTTGAAGCAAGTAGTAGCCTGAAGGGAGCGTGTGCCTTAACAGGTGAGGGCGTCTATGTGCTAAATTCTGCCTTTGCTGAAGATGCAAAGTGATTAATAAAATGTCTTCTCTATTCCTTATCTAGTCCTTAGGCCACACCAATTTAATTTGTTGGTTCTTGGATTCGCTTCTTCATTTTTTTCTGATTCGCAAAAAAAAAAGTTGGTGAATGAACTTGTCACGCCCCCGTGGGCATGGAATGGACAACTTTCTAACGGTCTCTCCGGGGTCACTGTGTGATTCAAAAAGTAAACAAAAATCTTACAGTGTTACCTGGCACACCGATCACTATGAACGTGAGGGAAAGAGAAGAGCAGGGCCAAGCCATGAGCATCTGAGGATTTATCCAATTCCGTGGCGGGTACAAACCTTCTCTGGGCGGCTTCACACACAGAAGAACGCGTAAAAAATTCCACAAAACGCAGCATCAAAACTCCCACCTGCCTGGAGGCCTGCACAGGATGATATGCTGAGAGCTCCAGCACTGGTTTTAATGCTATTTAGCACTGGAAAACCAGTGCTCGACTTTCTTCAGTGCTGATGCCATTTTGACCACTGAATCAGCACTGGAACACCAGTGCTGAAGGTGTTACTTTTCTATATAATTTTTTTATACATGTATTTTTTTACAAAATATGGTTTATATGTGGGGGGGGGGTATCTACCAACGTAATATTTAACTTCGTCGTGACCGGCACCCCGAAGAACATTCAATCACCACATCAGCTGGTCACTAGTATCCTACCATGTCACATGGAACGGATCCGAGGTACTACCGACTCACGCCCCGGGGAACACTCTACAAGGGACAACTGGACTTCACGCCGTCATCACACCAACAGCTAAGATCGTCACATAGATCTGATTTACTTAGATTGTCTCACATAGCCTCTGTACAAATGCTCATTTAGCCGTACCGCACTCCTCATGATTGTTTTCTATCTTTTGAATTTCCCGCCTAATGATGATGTCATAGAACGAAGCGCCACCTACATGTTAGAACAAGTATTGCAGGCGCAAGGGCATCTAGCACCTGATTGGCCCATAAGGACAATCACCATCGAAACGGGCCAGGATTGGTCAGGAGAACAAAGGAAATCGCTCAGAGCGCCCTGACCTATTTGAACAGCGTAACCGCTGAGTCATCACCTTTCTAGCCGCTGATTGGCTAACTCTAGTCAGTGCAAAACGAGATACTGTAAGCTGATTGGTTAGCTCCTAGAGCGCCCTGCCCTGAGCTAAGTAACAGGCAGGGCGCCCTGACCTTACTGTGATAGAAGAGTATAAAAGGCAGTGCGGTACAACTCTTGTCATTTCTGATGAAGACTTTGGAATAAAAAGTCGAAACCGGTAAAATTGATAGTCTCAGCCGTCATCCTTCTGACGAACTATTGACTATTTGACTTCCGTGATGTTTAACATGCTAATGCGTGGAAATGTGTAGAAATGCGTATTAAATAATGCGTCTTTCGTTTTAGTGTTACCATACTATTAGTACTACTATACGAAACGTTTTGGTACAAAACAAAATTTTAACGAACAACATCTTCTCACCTCTATGTATACATCTTTGCCAGACAAAATCCACCTTCGACGCTTCGTGGAAGGCTTTGCAGACTTTAGCAGCAGTTGCCAAATCTTTCCCGGGAAGAAAGGACAGAATGTGAGCCAGTAATTCTGGAGGGAAAGAAGTAAGACTCCCCATCTTCGAAATACATAACTAACCCGGAAGTGGAAAAAAGACACCGGGCAACACCGCAGCAACCGCGCGGAAACGCGAAAATTCGATTTAGTGGCTGTTATAATCTAATCATGTTGATTTAACAAAATTACTAATGAAATTATTCTAATAATAGCTATTTTGCATTAGTGTATACTTAAGGAATGAATCTATTTCAATTTATTCATAATATAATTTGTTTTGCAATAGACACTATTTTACGTATTGATGCTATCGAGGGCACGCCTGACCTCTTGACCTTTCGCTGTAAATACGGTTGATCACGTGGCTATAAAAATTAAATGCCTTGCGGACGCAACGTGCAAAAAATCAATAGTATATATTCACAAACAAACAAAAGGTTCGTTATCAAACATTCCTTTCGCCGGGATAAATATGAGGCCCAAAATGTGATGTACAAGTATGAATATTACGGGGAAACTTTATAGACCCTTTATAATTTTCCATTTCCCTATACATGTATTATACAACCTCCTTCATATAATCACACAAAACAATACACAACATGCAATACACAGAGCGTAGCACCTTCATTTGTTGTCAGAAACAATATTTCTAATGAAAAATAAACATAATACATATAATTTTTTGAAAGTTAGAAATTGATTAGTTGTTGACATTGACCTTTTTGTAGATTTTTGCCTGTACGTGATCTCAGGGGATCTGGCATATAAGCAAATCATGATCATGGCAACAACTACATATATACAAAACGATTACTAAAACCAGAAAAAGAAAAACAGACAGGGGAATTGTAGCCTCCTGTGCAGACTCCGGGCGGATTGTTTTGATACTGTAGTTTTGTAGAGTTTTTAACGCGTTCTTTTAGTTGCCGTCCATCCTACAACCAGCAGCGAGAGAAGGTGGGAACCTGGTTGTAGGATGGCCGGTAATTAAAATAACGCGTTAAAAACTCAACAAAACGCAGTTTCAAAACAATCCACCCGCTCGGAGCCTGCACAGGAGGCTAGGGGAATCCCCTTTAGATCTAGACTGGTAAGTCGAGGGGCGTGGCCGGGATCGCCATAAACAACCCTTGCCACAGACGTGAGACGCACATGTCACTGGTTAGGTACGGTGGACATCGGCAGTGCTTATTTTCATTTTCTTCGCAGGAATTTTTCAACGCTTATCAGGCTCTTGTCAATCTGTAACCACTCCAAACCAACCACGTACTGTTGTCTACGTTTATTTGAGAAGGCGCGATTAATTACTGAGTCATTACTCATTAGATTAGTCTAAAATTGCGAAATTCGTTTGAATCTACCTTGATCATTATCAGAAGTCGAAACAACAAGGAAAACTATTATCTAAATCGTCAGGAACAACGAAAACCGTTGTAAGTTAGAACTGTTGTGACGTTTGTTTGTGTTTGGTAAATATTTCTCAAGTAATCTACCGTATCCGATATCTACTCTACTGTCAGTTGTCATCTTTTACTTTTACCGCGCGAAAATACTTTCACTTTCTTTCTTTCACTACGCCGCAAGTTTGCATCTGACACAGCTGCAGAGAAAGTTTCACTTCGTGAGGCTTGTGAGAAGTATAACGGGTGCTCCGTTGGCCGTGCTCGGGAAAACCCGCTAGGCGGTCCGGGAAGGTAGTTCGGAAACTCGCGATGGCCGTTTGACGTATAAACCTGGCGGGGACGACTCGTATTCCAGATAGTTTTCGTGGAAAATCTTTCGCAGTTTTGAAACTGGCGCGCTACCGTTGTGTGAACGAAAGCTCGGGGTTGGCATCGGGAAGAAACCGCGGTAATGCGCGGTGACGACACACACCGTTCGGTCACGGTTTGCCGATGTTTCCCGACTACTAATGAGCCACCGCTCGGGAAACGAACGAATCGCGAGTCCGTACGGCCGTCATACGATTCTGGACGTTTTCACGGTACCGTGCATCGCCTGGCACTCCGCCGCGGCTGCCACGTCGATTCAAGACAGTTTCAACCCCGGTATGTATGCATGAGATTATTTCCTCCGTTCTGGGTCAATCTTGACGATTTTGGAACGTCTTAGACAAAGTTTTGGGCGATTTTTGTGCGCGGAATGAATGAAGCCTCAAGTTGTTTTCGCGTCGCAAAGATGGCGGCAAGCCGTGGAAGGGGCGAGGCGGAGCCTCTACCGTTTTGTCAGTTTTCCCCGTTCCGCTGTTTCCATCGTCTTGAACTTGCCTCACAGATCACACGGCTAGCGGCGTTTGCTGCCTGTCCGGCTACTATTGGCCAGCTTTATCTGTTTTGAACTAGGACAGCAAGAAAATAGCCCCAAAAGCCAGGACAAGTCTGCAAATAAAGTTGACGGGTGATACCAACACGTTAATAGGTGAAGGGGTGTCCAGGATGGAGTCAGTAAAGAGTTGAAAACTTATGTCAACATCAAATCCATCCTGTCACGCAGGCGGTAGCAAAATTTTCAACGGTTCACAGCACTAGATTTTTACGCGTGATTACAGTTACTTTTGACGGCAGTACTTTAGATGTTTTTCTTGTTGGTGGCCTCGGCACCTCCCTAGTCCAGGGGATGCCATGGGCCGTTAAATGAAACGACATCATTGGCTATGCATAACAGCTTGGCCGGATGCCCACCCCAGATCTGGTGATCTCTGGGCCTTTGCTAAATTCTTCGCGCTTGTTTTGGCATGGCAGCAGATTCCGTCCAAAGTTTCCAAATAACGGGAAAAGGACGAAATGTGAGGAAGAGTTGCAAGGCTACGATGTTTCCCCTCTAAGCGTGTCGTTCCCACACAAAGCTTGCCGACTGGCCCTCACACCTCACTAATAACGTATGCAGGGCTTGCCCCAGGAGATCGTTTGGGCCTGTAGCTGGCACAGGCCTCATTTTGGCCTTCTTACAGGGAGAACGCAGTGGTCGTTGTATCTGTCGAGATCGTCGGTCTACTGAGACGTACAAAAAGTTGAAAGACCCTGACGACGTCAATACGTCAAAATGAGTGGCATGCATTTTGTGACGCAAACTTGACCAGACGCACACATATGTGTGACACTACTAACTTACACGCGAAGGAGAACTTGATAATTGATAAGTACCACGTCTGATTCTGTAGGCAGTTTTTGTGTACGGAAATTGTACGTCTGTCAGAAAGAAGGAATTTTATAGACAACTCAAGATAGAGAATGTGTATTTGAGCCACTTTCACATGGCGTAACTGCATCCAGCGTGTAGATAAATTTAATTACACAATTGAGCCAATATCAACAACAACAACACTCACAATCACATGCTACGCAAGGACTAATGAATCAGGGTCGTATTTTCTAACAACTGGCCAAGATCTTCTGAATGAAGAAGTTGGCGCTAAACAGTAGTAAGTTTCATTTGTTTCCAAAAATAGAAACCCCAGATTTCACAGTATCAATCAGCTTTCTGACTGTCCCCAATTTGTCTACAATGTTGTGCTGAGACACTTGCGATTGCTAGCACAGCTAGTAATAGTAGTATTTGAAGAAATTATATCCATCTTTCAACCTTGACTTGAGGGCATCCCTGATAATCTATTCATATTCTGTTACACATGTTGTTTTCAGTGGAGTGTCAAAATTACGCCAATAATTTACAAGTAGCTGCTAGAATGGTAGCTGCCAAGCTAACAAGATCTCTTTGTAGCAACAACTTGTACCATTAACATATATACAGGGCTAGAAATACTTTTTTTCCGGTTACATCATCAAAGGGGTTAAAAATCAACAGGAGGTTGATGCAAAAATTGCATGTTGGCCAAAATTTTATGTGCAATTTGAAAAATCTACATGCAAAATAGTCCGTCTTCAGCCTTTGCTAGATATACAACAAGATACATGATTCAACATCAAGTTCTTATGTTATGATCGAGTGAAATTTTTACATATTAGTTGGTGAACTTGGAAGAAATGAGGCGCGTGCGTGCAAACCTGATGAATTTGTAAATTGATAGAAGTTGACTTGAGAAAAATCAGGGAAAATAGGAAAGAAACACCCTACGTTTTAAAAATCATGAGTATATCAGCGCTGCAATAGCAGTACAGTATATAGCTGAATGTCATGGCACTTTTATTCCATGTACTCTTGCAAAATTGGAAGTACAGAATATTTTTGCATGCAAATCGCAAGTTGCATGTGGTAATTTGAGCCTCGACACATTTTGTTGTGTTTGTCACTCTGTGTGAAAACTCCTCCAAAGTGACGCAATGTTTTTATAATGACAATGTCTTCAGAGATGATGAGTACATGATATTTATTGACGTAATAGGAGCTTTATGTAATTGGCGCATTCTGCCATTGAGCAATGGCTGACAATATACAGCGTTGATCCCATGGCAGCAGTTAGAAAGGCTAAATTGATTATACCAACATTTATTATCGTGGAACCTTTTGTTGTCTTTTGTTCTATATCTGCCTATTTGTCTTTTATAATCTGGATCTAATTTGATTATATACATTTATTAGCCCTTACATAGCTGTCAAAAATTGGTGTTATTGCTAGGCCCCTTAAAAGTATTTATAAAATTCACTGAAGGAGCTTTGAGTTTGAGTTAACTTACAACTTTTATCCTCTTGAGACCATTTTAAGACTCTGAAGAGAGATACTTTCCCACAGGGGATAAAATGTTATGCAACTTTACATGGATTGGAAATTAGAGAATAAGATATAGCAGTTTGTGCATGCAAAATTGGAGATGTGCATCTAATTTTTGACTGTTGGTGCACCAGTGCACGTACTGACCTAGATATTTGCGTAGGATTGCGTACACAAGGAGTCATTATATAGAAATATTCTTGAAGTTCTTGAAATTGAAAAATCTTTGTTTTTGTTGTATGACTTGTTCCAAATTTTACCAATGTAGAATTTTAGTATGAAGCTACGGAGAGAGGCAGTAAGGTTTGTTTTAGTATTATGTTTTGCTGACAGTTTCATGTCGTTCATCCAAATTTTATATTCGCAGTGCACCTAAATTTTTAGGTCAAGGCACACGAGTGCACCTTTCCCATAAGTGAACT